ATTATTTTTGGTAATATATTTTATTTTGACTTGTTTATAGTCCTATATAGGAAGTAGAAGTCCTTTTTTTTAATTAAAAGATAATATTAGTACTAAAATATTTTACCACCTTCTTAACTTTTATCTAAGTTTCTAAAATAATTTGCTATATAGCACAATTTTGGATATGTATCATTGTTGTAGTTTTTGTAAAGATCGCCACTCAAGTCTTATTTATTCATATTAAAGGGTCAAGATAAAAGATTGGAAGTAAGAATTTGAATATCTGCTAATGATGTATGTCTTGTATTTTTTAAGATTTTTATTTCTTCTTTGGATCATATAATTCTAAGACAAAGATTGCAATCATTTCTAATGTCATATTTTTGCTTCTCAAAGGTTATCTATCTTTCTTATTTTTTAAATAATATACTTATATATATTTTTTTAAAAATCTATTTTTGGATTTTTCTTGAATGAATTTCTCCACTCCAAAAGATTCTACTTCTAAAATCAATTCCATGACCATGGCCTTGTTGCAAAACTACTACAACATTTGATAAATTTATCCACATTCCAATGCCATCATATCTTGCTCCAACTTCCATCTTTCAACTTTGACTTTTGAATTGAGTGGATTCAACTTCCAGAGCTTACTTAGACTAATTTTTTTGCTGCTTTCTTTCCTATCTTTTTCATCTTTATCTATTTAATTAAAAAAAAAACTCCTTTTATATTATTATATTATAATGTGGCTATTAAATGAAAGAAAAAAATGATTATCTTATAGAAGAAATTATTTTAAAATATAGTATCAAATTAGTTTAAAAACATAGCAAAAAAATAGGAAGATAGTAAAACTAATTTAATATTAGTATTTCTATTGATATTTTAAAAATAAAATAATTAAATAAAATAAAAATACAATACTTTACTTTTTAGAGCCATAAACAAGATAAAAAGAAGTATAATAGCAAAAATGGCATTGTACTTATATTTAGGTAGAAGCTTTCTATAAAAACTACTTACAAAATTCTTAGATTGATATCTAAAAAAGATTGGTTATAAAGCAAGGTTGAAACCAAGCCTTCAAGTACAAACCATGCACCAACAACAAAATTGGGATTTTTTTATTTATTGGAAGATAGGATATGAGAGCAAACTTGATAGTATTTCTATAAGCATTAGTTTTGAGGGATTTGAATTTATAATGACTTTGTAAGGACTTTACAAAGTGAAGATTAATTTATCGTGGCTCTATTTTTTGTAAAACAAAAATGAATTTATATTTTGGTGAATTTTGTAAAATTTTTAGTAAATTTAGAAGTGGATTTTTGGATTTTTAACATATTTTTACTAAATGTGTAAAGTAAAATTAAGCTTAATTAGATATAAAAATTAAAAATAATTGAGATTCAAATGAGTTAAGATTTCAAAAATTATATTTTAAAGATTGGTGAGGATTTCTACAATTTTAAGGAATTTGCTATTTGGATTAAAACTATTTTTTGTATGCTAATAGTTAACTTAGTTTCCAATATTTTTATTTTAAAAAAAAGAAAAAAAAACTAAATGGTCCAAATAGAAGCTACTATCATTAAAAGGTTAACATTAAGGTAAAAAATATGAGAAAATTAATAGTTAAGCTGATTTGAAGCATTTTCTCTCAATTGGTAAGTTTGATCATTTTTTAATTTTATGTGCATGTATTCAATTAATTAATTGATATATGTAAAAACTTAAATTAGAAACAATGGTTGAAGTAAAAATTATTGAGATTTGAATTTTTCTATAGAATTTACTTAGATATCGACTAGTTTTTATTAGACTTATTTGAAGATTATTTATGATTCCTTCAAAATTTCATCAAATTTTTTAATGATTTTTAAGGTTTAATTAAATTTTACTATAATTTAATAATATTTTTTTAGGTTCTTTAAAATTGATATTAATTTTTTTAAAAATATTTTGTGCATTTTTTTTTTTGGATTATAAATCAAAATTCAAAGTAAGATCAAATCTTTCTACAACCAAATGCTTAGTAAATTTTCAAGCTGATTTTTACATTACACAACAACATTCTATCAACTATGTTTAAGTCTCTCAAAACTTCTATAATAATTTGTCACTATAAATTATATTATTTAAAGAGGGCTTTTGCTTCTTCTTATCTTTGACTTGGGTAGAGCTTATATGTTGTGCTATCCCATTAAATAATGTTCCTAGTAACAGATCATGTGAGAAGATAAGTAGATATAAATTGTATCTTTATTTTTTTGCCGGCTTATCCATACATATCTTTTCTTTCAAAATAATTGCCTACTTTTTATTTAGATTTAATTCTTTGTCACATTACATAAAGGATTCCAATAAATATAGATTTCCTAAAGATATTGTTTCTTTCAGTCTATACTTTGTTGCTAAACTATTGTAGAACTTGATTCAATAACTTGATATTAGATTGGTTGAAATAGCTTTTTAATTTGAGCCAAATTTTTGTTCTAATGTCTTATGACTCTTATTTTTTTAATAAGATTCTTATGTCTTTTTTTGCCTAATTTCTTTTACATGTCTAATTCTTCTATTGTTTCTTCATTTAATTTCTTTTACTAAATTATCCTATGAAATTATGCTTTATTATTAATTATTTATTCCTAACACAAAAATCATATTCTTATACTTCCACATATAGATGAAAAGTCATTCAATATAATCTCTAAATGCAAGCATACGGGGATTAATCATCAAGTCATCTATAATAAATAAATAAATAGAAGATTTCAGAAAATATAACTCTCTTCTACTAATTTCTACTAGCGGTAGGATTTGAATCCAATACCTCTAGAGTGCCACCTCAACACTTTAGCAACTACTCCATCTTTACAAGCTCTAAGTTGCCACTTAATATCTTGAAGTTATAAACAAAAACTTAGACCAATGTAGTTCAAATCCCTCTAATTTAAAGTTTTTTTGCCGACAAACTATGGACCTCCTTGTTTCTAAAATTCATCCACTTATTTCTTAATTTATTAAAAATATATTAAACTTTTTTATAATTCAATACTTTGATTGTTAGTTATATTTTAAGACATAATTTTTTCTAAATTTACTTAATAATTTAAATAGATATCAAGCAACCACAACATATTATAGTCTTAAGTTAATTTTTATGTATTATATTGATTTATAATCCAATAAGATAAAGTTGCATTGAAGTTCTTCTATGTGATGTACAATAGAATTATTAATATGTTCTTCTTTCTATAGATTGTATTACAACTTCCTTCATTGTGATTAATCAACAATGTTGAACTTGTCCTTAAATATTTTTATCCAATAAATAGTAATCTTTGATACAATCAACTTGGTTCTATTTTCTAAACTTGAAGTATTGATTTTTTTAAAGTGATGAAGGCACCACTTTCTCTACAAATTCTAAGTACAACTTCTATCAATGAACCACCTTATGATAATTAGCGTCATATATCCTTGAAAATAAATGTAAAAATTATAATATAATCTTGGCATAGATGTAATTATAAATATAGCAACTTCACTTTCCATCCACCACAACATTGTTTTGTACTTTTCTAATAAGAAGACTTATTGAAGTCTCTACTTGCAAGAAGCATGCCCTACAACCTCTTCATCTTCTTCCACAGTCAGCTTCTCTTCTTCTTCCATTTCTTCATCTATATTTTTCTTCTATGACTAATCAATCTTATTCTTTTGATTATTAGTATCACAATGATTATAGAAAAATACTACTATGACAAACAATATTGAGAAATAATTTTGCATCCTTGAATTTGGACATATTCCTATGAATTTATACTTAATAGAAAACAATGCAAAGCTTGCAATTAGCCTAAATTTGTGTTCTATGTCTATGCCTCAATTCTTGCTTAAGAAGCACTAACTTAAATTTTGCACCATCTCTTAGGAACCCCCAAGCTCGCATTATTAAAGTCTTTCTTTAAATTTTTGTTATAATACAAGAGAATTGTGATATAAATTATATCTATTAAAAGAAGTCAAATTATTGTCTTGTCAAGTGTCATTCTATGCAATTAAGTGAAGTGCATTGCATACACCACAATAGAAGTTATTGCAAAGATAATTGTCTATCACACATTGCATCTAACTAAGCTTGCTATATATGAATTTGTGTGGACCACATTACTTAAAAATCTACATTAATTACTTTAGTTAGTATACTATTCAATAGTTTTACTTTATATTTTTAAATATATATATATATAATTTTAAATATATATATTCTTATTATTATTTTAAAAATAAATATTTATTTTCTAATATAAAGAAGATAGATTCATTTGTTTTATTTTTTTAATACCATATATTTTCTAAATATTTTTCTTTTGGCCTATTTTTATTTTCATTCTCAACCAATACCAAGATAAAATTCACTCACTCACTTTTGTTGTTGAATCTTTTAAATAAAATATCCTAATCTACCTAATACATAATGAGATATATTTTCAAAAAATCTTGTAACTAAAAATATTCAATCAATCAACCAATAACAAAATAAAAACTTAGTTACAAAATCTTGAAACTAAAATTAAATAACTAGAAATACTCATCTATTTAATAATAAAACAAACACTCAACAACAAATTACTTTGACAAAACATATAATTAGAAATACTCAACTACCTAATGACAAGATACTAAAACTCATAATCAAACTCTTATACCTAAAATCTCCGGTTGGTTTGCTCATCCACCCAACCAAAGATCAAATTAAAAACCTATTCACAAACTTTAGTAACTAAAATACTAGAAATTCTCATATGTACCAAGACTCACTCTTGTAACTAGGAAATGGATCCAAACAAGCGAAACACCCCGTTCGTTCATACAGTAGGAGTGCACAAAAGCATAAATCAATCAATCCACTCCTACACACAAACAAACAAACAAACTGCAACATGTGTGTGCATGTCTTTCACGTAGAGGGTCCACGCTTCATGAGTTTCCTTTGGAAAAACAAGCAGTCAGAATCGAATTACTGCGAAGATTGTGAAGATTGATGACGAAGATGAAGAGGGTGGATCAGGAGGAGTGAGGAGATGGGGAGGCGGAGAAATCCGAGAAGACGAGCCAGAGTGGGTGTTGTGAGACCAGGATGCAGGAATTGCATGATTTTCCACGCCATCGCTGATCCCCATGCACAAATTTCTCAGACAATCGGAGAAAAAATGAGTGAGAAATAACTGCAATTGAATCGCTCGCCACCGGTGCAAGTGAGTGCGAAGGCCCAGAAGTGTATAATCAGAAGCTACGCTGTGGGAATTGCGGTAACATGCTCGGAGAATGGAACCATGGTTGTGAGGAGGAACCATGTTCTAGTGCGGAACAGTCTTCGAGATCCGTGGGATGGGATGATGCAAGGAGATTCAACCCTTTCGACTCCTGACAATACCCTTCACGATCTCCACTTGCTTTTCATTCCATCTTGACCGAGTCACGCATGAGTTTCAGTTTTACTTGTCATTTATTTTTTGTATTGTTCTCGGCAGGTGCAGTGATTGACACGAACAGAACGCTGAGAATGGAGGTTTCCCCAGGATTATGTATCTCATGCATCGAGCATCTTGGTCGCATTCTGCACCGATGAGTCTGAAGTCATGTGTGGCATGGAAAATTCTGCAATGCGAGGAGAGTGAGGCTTGAAGCTGTAACGCAAGGCGCGAGAGAATCCTCCACAGTGTTGGGTTCTGTGGAAAAAGAAGTCAAACTCGGGAACTCAAAATCTCGTGAAAATTACGATCCTCAACACAGACCCCTCCTTCGATGAAGATCCAGCGAGCCGGCCTGCCCCAACGGCAGTCGGCATTGCAGGCGAGATATAGATCTACGCTCGTCTCTATTTCTCCCTTTCACGTTATAACTATAACTGGTGGGACGAAGGTTACAATAACAAACCCTAAAACCACTGCATATCGTCATGGTTACTGCCTTCGGCGAAGCATGCTGGATTCCTAGTGGACGGGAGAATTTCTATCAGATTCGCGGTTTTTTTGTGGTTTTGCGTTTCTACCGTGTTGAAAAATTCTCTGTTAATGGTTGGGTTTTTGTTGACATGAGTGGCATGAATGGCATAGGGCAGGCAACGTATTTTCCTTCATCATGTTCTTCTCGCCATTGTAAGTGTTCACTCTTCGTGAATCTGGCTCCAAATGTTGAAACCTCTTTCTATGATTGTGAGATGACTGCAAGATTTTCGTTTCCTTTCGTGGAATTCTAAAAAGCCGCATTGCATTTGACAAATGATCCGCATGCGGTTTACAACAGACCCACGTTCTGGACCATCATCAAACGGAGAGAAACAGGGCAATTCTCGGTGGTGCCGTATGTCGCCACTTTGCTCAACTGCCTCATGTGGTTGTTCTACGGAACTTCATCTGTGGCTGGGCTCATGTTGGTGTTGACCATCAACGCTGCAGGAGTGGTGATTGAATCCATTTACATCATCATCCACGTTTTATTTGGTGATTTTGAAAGTCGGGTAAAACCATCACATAAAAACTAGCTCATGCCAACTATTATGCATGTATCAATTTTATTGTGTGTATATATATATATATATATTCATGTATGTGTGTGTGTGTACACACACATACCAGTGAAGAACACTTGCTACGTTTTATTTCACATTAAATTTTGAAAGCTGTAAGGATCATGAGTTTTGAAAAATATTGGTTTTTGCTATTTAGGTCTCTCATATCTTTTCATGCTTGCTTGATTTTTTTTTTTTTTTTTTTTTTTTTTTTTTGCTTTGTTCAATTTTTCTCAGATGCACAATATTGTTATTATTATCATTGTTATTTTGTCCCTCCTTATTCCTGCTCCTTCTAATTATTTTAGAAAAATGATTAAAATGATTTTATGCACCCAGACCGTAGAATGTCAACCACCTTATACTTTCAGTCTCCAAATTACAGAAAAGAACAGGATGTTACTTTTTGGGAATAATGGTGTTATACACCATTGTCCTTTGTTGTGTGACTCAAGCGGTAGAGGTGAATGACCGGGTTACCGTTGTGGGTGCCATTTGTGTGGTTATTGGGAGTATCATGTACTCTGCTCCCATGACAGTCATTGTAAGCTCATCCACCGAAGTATTGCTAATTGTTTTAAACACATGTTGCTTATTCAATTTTATCCAAGTTTCTTTAAAACAAACCTGTGAGCCTACTTTTCTATATTAGACATCCGAGTTCGTTGTGGGTTGTGAACAATGCTTAGGCCCAAGTGATAAGAGATAAAAACGTGGCAAACATGCCGTTATTTTTGTCTGCTTCATCCTTGATCAACAGCGTTGTGTGGACAACTTATGGCATCCTAGTCGAAGACGTTTTTGTAATTGTAAGCAATGCCTTCAACGTCGACACATTAAATGTATTTTTTTAGTAAAATGATCAACTCCATTCACTTTGTATAACTAAAAACGAAGGTAACTGACTATTAGCTCGGTTTTGGAAAAAGTCAGCTTTAGGATGTATTTTGCAAGTTGCAAATGGACCTATTGGATTTGGTAGTGACACCGCGACCTAGAAGAAATTGCTCAAAGATTGATGAATTGGTGTGATTGTTGTCTGGCCAGATTCCCAACGGAATGGGCGTGTGTGTGTGCGCGATACAATGTCTGGTCTACTTTTACATTTCCTTGGTGGCAGCCAAAAGGGGCGCTTCATCGCCTCCTACAGTTTGAGAGGATCCCTGGCCTCCAGTGTTAATTATCACCGATCCTTCGGCTTTTCTAAATGTAGGTGATGTGAGAACATGCGTGAGCTGCGATTAAATGCTGTATTCCAGCTCGAACTTATCTATACAACTGATTGTTTGGGGAGTGAGAGAACAAGATTGTGATGTATAACACCAATGTGTTCACAGAACTGATAATCCTTTTAAAAGCTCATCTTTCAAGTGCTTCAAGAGGGGCGTAGAATGTTGGGAGTTAATTTGTGGTAGAGGATTTGAGAGCCGCTTAGATAGTCCAGTTGCAGCACAGAGCATGAATGTGAATTTTCGAGTTACTCCGACACAATGGATGAGCCATGACTAATCATAGAAAGGAAAAGGGAGAGAGTTTTTCAATGCATGACAGCGTATAGACAAATATCAAGGGCTTTTCGAGGCATTTAATTGCCTACTCAGTGCACGACATAGGGCTTGGCAAGGCCTGCAAGGTCGCAATTAATCCAAAACTGAGTCACTTCTGAATGCTCCAACAAACAAAAAATAAAAAATAAATCGCTTGAATTATTAAATTCACTTGTATTATATCCGCAGATGATTTTGAGAACACTGGTGTAGTTAGAGAGAGAACATTTATATTAAAATAGCAGTGAGGCAAATGATTTTGAGAATATGTCTTGAAATCATTCTCTACAGCGGCAGCAGCCACTAGGTTTGTTCCTATCTGTAGTAATAAGCCTACTTCAACAATACAAAAGCTTCCACGCGGCCTCACAGCAGCTGGGGCGCAGGCCAAGACAGGTTTTCCTTTCTAGAAATTTGCAGAGTACCCCAACACTCTCTAGAAGGTTTCTCGGCAATTCTTCCGATCACACACAAAAATCTCGTTCTAGCCTTCAAGTGAATATGAACTACCAACGGCGAAAAAGAATGTGTCAGTAGTGTGCTGTTCATTGAGCAACGGTAGAATTGAAAATCATGTTGGCATTGCCAGATCCTAATCATACAAATAAATAAAATAAAATAAACTTGAGGGGAGGAGTGTTTAGGCATTACTCCGATGTACTCCAAGATGCTCCATTCTCTTCCATCTTGCAACTGTGTATGTTGTATCGCAGGGTGCGATAAGTGCTTGGAGATTTTGGAACTCAGAATTGACAATGCACAGCTACATTAACACTACGTACAAATCCCTACACTTCTACTCTTACATCTAACCCACATTTTCATGGGGCTAAAATATCTTAACTGCCAATGTCTTCGAGCAATTATCGCACCTTGTGATACAACACCACGTTTGAATAGCTTTCGCTCCACGACATAACAACTGACATGGATTTTCCTTAAGTATTTGAATTTAAATTTCCTCGTATCACAAGAAAATTACATATGAATGCAATCACAGCTCAGACTGCAACATGTGTTCGGCCCACACAGTGCTAGTAACTAGCGAATGTACCAGCAAAGAATGAAGATGTACTAATTCCTAACTTTGTGCATGTGAAAAGCAATTACAAGCATATGCTTCAGGGAGCAGGAAGAAAACAACATAAAACAAAGAGGTACCTGTGTCCATGCAAAGAGCCATTCTTCTGTAAAAGCGAGCTCCTGCGGATTGTCATACAAAATATGACCTTGCGCGAGATGTCGCCAGCTGCGACAAACTGCACTAATATCTGCACGCTGAGCATGTGGTATTCTATCCAATCAAAGACAAGCAAGCTGATGCGGAAGTGCAGGCGTAAGACACCGGCATGATTCCTCTTTTCCTCTTCTTCTTGAACCAGCTTCACATGTCATTGCCGACTGTGACTGCGCAGTTCCAGACATGACGTTTATTCTTTCCTTTCAACCACACCTCGGCTAATGACAATCTGAGGAAAAGTCTACAACACAAGGCCGCTTAGCAAAAAGAATTGTTGTTAGATTTTACACGCTCTTGGATCTAACCCACTAGAATTACTGTACCCTCCTAGCCAAAGCCTGCTCGAGAATTAAAGCGTATGGTCCAAGATTTCGTGAAAATTCTTAGTCGAAGCCGGGAAATGACGTTCTCACCCTCTGTGATCGAAGAATCAACATTACAGTGATCAATACACTGTTGAGAAAGATTTGACGTGCCCGGTCTGAATAGGAAACAATACTCGTACCTGGGCATCCATCCCCTTCTATCTAGATGATATTCATTTCGTGCAGTGTTCCTTGTGAAATGCCCCATCCAGATGTTTCGCTGAGAACTAACCAACGTCCTCTAGCTTTTGGCGCATGATCTGTTCCGATGGAATCAACAATAGCCTGAACCAAAATACACAATCCATGCGCGTAGAGAATCACTAACAATGAGAGCTGACTACCAGACTATGACAAACATGCAAGATCAGCCTAAAATCCCTATCAGGGAATTCGGTTGATTGTAATGAACTTTAAATTGCTCTCAATTAAGTTCGTTGATCGACCCCACACTGTCCCCGCTGATCCGTGGAAGAATAAAGCACTGACCTATATCAGACGCGTAAGTAGAAACCCTACGCTAGTAACACCGCTCCTTCACTGCACATTCTAAAAGTCACACAGCTGGGTGCGTTCATTAAGAATTATGGAACGTAATTAGAGAGCCCTGTGTCGAATGGCTCCTGTTCGAGCGCAAGTGAAACTGTTGTGTGATATCAAAAGAAGAGGAAGACGATGTGGTGAACATAACTGAGTCCACATAGTGCTACCTCCACTCATTCACACGTTCATTTTCTCCAATATTCTGCGCATTAGTCGGTGGCATCCAGACTTTCCGAACCTCGGCGCTCCTGACTGTCCATATAGTCCACACAGTTGCCACCAACTCAAGAAACATTGAAATGCAATATCCCACAAACAAAGTAAGGAAACCATAGATCTCGTCAATTCCCATGAACTTGACAACAACGACGACTGCACGTTTCATGCGGGAAATAACGTTTCATGTTGGGCACAAAAATCTTCTGGACCGCTCGAAACCCTCCTCTCAATCACAAACCACCTCACCCACAAGGGAATCCAAAACTAACAACTAAAGTAGCGACACCCAATATCCCAGGCACACATCAGCAACACACCACACAAAATCCTTCTTCGTGTGTTCATCTCCGAGCGACGCACGCAATGTAGAGCTGTGAGCATGACTCTCGCTTCACCTCGTGCAATGAAAGCACCCCAAACAAAACACCGCGGCGTCTGGTCTCTTCAACGCCTCAGTCACCCAATTCTCGCTGCAAATTTCGCAACAACTCGGTCAGTGATTGTATCTCGAAAGTCTCCTCCTCCAGGAGAGAATGGAGTAGCGACGAAGGAAGGATTGAGTGAGCTAGCACATGAATTGCGAGCAGCGTCTATTTATGGATGCCTTTGGGGGGGGGTAACCATGCCGCCACGGCCGCCGGTCGGCGACCGCGGGTAAGAGATCGGAGGCCTGCCTTAGGGTGCGGTCAGATTTTATTTTATTTTCCCCTCGCTGACCGAATCCAGAATCTGATGTCGCTTTCGTGGGTGTGATGCACGGTGATAGGCCATGACCGTGATCTTTGTGGGAAAGGCGTAGATATCTTCATAAATGGAAGAATTAGATATGTTCATAAATGAAAGATATAGATGTTTGAGTAGCACTTTTCGAAAGCATACAACATTCATGGTTTAAAAGCCACTCTTTTGAAATGATAAAAATGATAATATTCTTTAGATTCGATAAGATGACGAGGTTTGCATTAATTGTACATAGAACAGAATAAGATTCATATTTATTTTTGACTTTTTGACTTTTTTGACAAGGAGTATTAAATTTGTTTTGGACCAAAAGAAATGCTCCCCCCCCCCCCATTCGCCCCATGTTTAAGAAAGTTAGTCATTGCGTTGATGCCAACCATAATCACATTTCACACATAAACCGCCACATTTTTTTATAAAATAAAATAACAGAAAAGACATGCCTCTACATTCAAATAGAAGTGCCTACACATGTGTGCAGATTAAAGTAAACTAATAAATCACAAACACGCTCAGATTTCAATAAACTCATTCAATATCCGAAGTTACACTTGATTCGTTTCACAAGTTAATTTAAGATCAGAAGGCTAAAGATGCACAAGTTACAACTATGCATGTACAAAAGCTAATACTGAATGCACCATTAAATGTATTAGCATCTTTTGTGTCAACTCCAAGTGGTGCTCACAGAAACTAGAGTGACAGCTATGAAATTGTAAGGACAAGATTAAGTCAAACCCACTTAAAATTTGATGGTATGGGGGGATACATTACTATTTTGGGACGATCACTAAATGGTATTAAAGTGAAGAACCAGAATAAAATAAAATAAAAAGGGAATAATTGTTATTGTTCAAAAGGTGGGTGCCAATGGTGCGAAATCAAAGATATCATGATTAATTTCGAAGATTGACACTCGCAAGGCACCGAGTGTGCTTTTTTCTTATTGGGATAACTATCACCACCCATGGGCTAATAGGCGAAGCAAGCCAAAGGGTTTTGGACCTTGCCAAACCCTTGGATTGGAATGTCCGTTGAATATGAACGTCCATCAACATTATATCCTAGTACCGCACAAACTCACTGTTCCAACCTTACCCACTCACAAATCAACCTGTCCATCAGTGCGAAGTGTAGAATCCTTGTGTCAGTTTAAAGGTCTGCAAAACACTTGTCTCTGCAACCAAACCAAAGCAGAGAGTGATGACTTCACTGCTAAGCGCTTCAGGGTCGGAAAATAACCATGTACAGAGTTGTTGATCTTGCCACGACGAGCAGGGACAAGCTTGAAAAAGATAATGTGGTATAGAGAAAAAAATTGGATGCTAGGTTGAGTTCTATATCTACAACAAAAGCAGGAGGAGTAGTTGGGGATAATCATACCCAGGATCACATTCAAAGATTTTCCACCAAATTGGTTACTTATACCAGATTTTAACACAGCATACCTTGAAAGCGTTGGAGACACTATAGAACAAACGCAGAAAAGAACTACAGAGGCCCCTTCCGACTAATTCCTGAAAGGAAAAGTCACAATATCACAGAAAGTAGTTTCAGCACCTATAAACAAAGGTCTTGTTCCACGCTTCTATTATACAAGGATGTCCTACAGAACCAGATCCAGGGAAAGCGTGATGTTTACCAAAATTACATCAAAAACCAAGTAAACGTCAATCGAGGGAGCCTACAGCAGCTTTTTAGATGAAGTCTTCGTTTCCAGAAGGAAATTGCAATGTTCACTTCAAATATTATTTCACATGTCGACATCACATATGTGCTGTAAAATCAGCACCTGAACAAACTCAATCCCTCAAGGAATACTTTCTGCCAGAGAATGCTTGAAACTTGGACGCTTCAGGCTCTTTCTTTTCTTCCTTGACCTCCTCTTTCTTTGTACTGGGTAACTGGATTCGGTAAAAAAGGAAATAACGAAAATCTTAGTCACACAGTAAACCATAAGATGAAATTCGAAACAAACTGAGGGCCAATTACACTTACTTTACTTTACTTCACTTATCTCAACCGTATCCAGATAAGTGCAAACGTCGCAACAATTATAAGAAAAGGAAATGCCACAATCTCTGTCACACTAGCAACATATGATCATGCGTTCCGAAATTCCGAGTATTATAAATGCACGCTTTACTAAGAGGATCATGCTAAGATAACCGTGTCAATAACAAAGGTATAAACAAACAGTTCCATCATACCTTTGCAGCTGCTGGTGCATTACTGCTGCCGCCACCAAACACAAGCTTTCCAGGTCTTTGTGCTCCTGCAGGTGGAGTTCCAGTGGGCTTCTGTACACTACTGGTGGTGGCAGTTGGCGTTGTTGAGGACGTTGATGGTATGGAACCAGTAGAAAGCTTGCCAGGCTTACCATCTAGCCGCCTCCCAGTACCCGTGAAGGCACTGAATTTTGGCTCCTCAGGTTCAGGAGGTGGTGTGGCATCTATTTAACAAAAAAGGGGGAACAATAGAAAATTACTTCAGGGAGGTATAGAAAGCGCAAGAAGACTTTAGGCACTACGGATTCCAAAAGAAATTCAAGTCGGTAATTCAATTACGTCTTGTACAAATTGTGTACATACCTTGTGATGACTGAGCAGGAACAGAAACAGGGGGAGGAGTAACCCTTTCTGGCTCTTTATAATCAAGTGGAGGAGCGAAGTCAACTTCACAATCTGTTTCAATAATTGAGATGGCATTGGCAGGCTTCGATTCAATGATATCAATGTAGTACTTCTTATTGTTGTAAGCAACCATGATATTGTCACCAATTGTAAGACAAGAAAAGTTCCGCAAAGTAGTTTCTAACCTGCACCCAGTAAGTTCACATTAGATGGCTGAAAAGAACGACTGAAATACACATACCAAAATAAATGCACTTCCACACATTCAAAAAGGTTAGAAAAGTCAAGAAAAAGGCCAGACAGTTGAGCAGCAACAGCAGTTGCAAGTATACTGTGCCACGGCAAAAAGATTACATCACAATCTGATTGGAATAATCATGACCAGAACAGTGACAGGTTTATGCACACCTACACAGCCTTTGGATTTGAGATGTCCAGAAAATCTTTTGTATGGGGCTGAAGTTTCACAAATGTTCCTTTGGGCAGCGTAGCACTCTTCACTCTAACAATGTCACCTTCCTGCAACAGCATATTCTGCATCATCTGCATGTGCCACTCACACACGTCATCTACAGCACCACAAGCTGCTCAGAGCACCTAAAGTCAAAAAAGTTCGAAGTCAATGAGACACATCCTTTTCTCAAATTATTTTTTGCAGTAGTAGAAATAAGCGGTTCAGAACAATAATTGAAGAAGTCCAAGGATGATGAATTTTATACCCAGTACGGCATGTAAATCATGCCTTCCTCTGCCACAAACTCCAGCACGCCACAATGACTTGTCCGCAAGGTTGAAGGGTTGTGGACTTCAAACAACATTGGGTAATCAATGCGCAGAGACGCTGCAAAGAAACACAACATTCGAAATTACTTCTTTTACAGCTAATCAATTACGAATCAGAATATCACACCGTATTCCAATATCAATGCAGCATATCTACTTGCAAACACGTTGCATGGAATGCCCACTGTCAAAGGAAACTGCCCCACCAGAAAATAGGGATAGAGTTGGACCTAATTCCTTCTGCAATATCGAGCTACTCTTTAATTCAGTCTTGCAGAATACCCTTGCGTACTACATAAATACAAGGCAGGTTGAACAATACCTAAGCGATCAAGCGCCGAAGGAGGCATAACCACTAGAATTAAAAAGCACCGGCCACAAAAACGCCTGTGTCAGAACCATAAAAACAATAACAAGAAGTAACTTCCAGACATATGTACTCTTTCAAATCTAATTGTAGGAGCAATGTGAATAGTAGAAGCACGTATCAATAGCATGTTGTATCACAACCTTTCACCCTAAATTTCCTGACAGAAATTCTACTTCTACATAACGAGTTCGAACTATTTAGAATCAATTTCTGGAATACATGATGACAATACCTTTATCTCCATTTTCCAAATGCGGCTGCATCCACAAATCCGGACACATGTACCACAGATGAAAGTCAACAAACTTCGCTAAAGGCACATATCGGTATACTGACCTCTGCATGACCTACTGCGATGCTAAAGTAGTTCACAAGAACCCCACATTTCGAAAGTTTCATTGCGTCTGCTACGAAAGAATCCAGAAAAAAACATTTGCACATAAATGATGAAGGCATCGTAGCAGTTGCCGCGACATCAAAAGGCGACGGTACAAATACAAGGTGAAGATATCGTTATATATCATAATCATAAAACAAATATCACAGCTTCAGCTCCCAACACTGACACTTTTCCGCTCAATTCATGGGCTCCCAATAGCGGATGTCGTTCAACATACAGTGAATTCTTCGGAAAAGCTATGAAATTTCGGCAAGAAAGATCAAGGCCGATATCACATCATCCTCTAAAAACATAAATCTTACAAATCAGGCCTCTATCCTCACAGCAACCAAAAACTAAAATTTGAAAGACCTGACTCGATCACTTCGGAATAACTTCATGGCAACGCAAGGCCCGTCCCTCCACGCTACCAAGCGCTAGACAACCCTCACAAACCCTAAAGACCTCAAGGTGATCAGCCACTGTCCCCAATTAGGGCATGAACATCACCTTATCGATGAAGGAAGCTGAGTAACAGCGATAATTCTGCTCGAACGGGGCCGATGAGTAGGGAATCCCGTAGTTTCCGAAATACTGCACCACGAGTCACTCCATCAAAACACGCTCAACTCGTCAACCTCTCAGAACCAAAGGGTAAAAGAGAAACGAACTTTGAACGGATCTTGCAACCTCTACAGGGCACAAAAAACATCGACACTTCAGACGAAATCCGTGGAAATACTCTGAGAATTGACGTACCATGGTTGCCCGATGCAGATGACGAAGATTGGCGATGCAAATTAGCAGCAATGAACCCCAAACGCAGACAGACGCAATGGAACAAGCAGAGCAATAAAAGCATGAGGGTTTTCGAAGCCCTGGCCTTTTCTTCTAGGTCTTCCCCATTTGCGGATGTAAGAGGATGGATGTCATCTAATTTTTACGTCGAAACGTTCCGTTTCTCGTTCATATGTGGATGATCGTCACTTCATCCATCCTTCCAGTTTATTGTCCTGTGCCTTGTTGTCGTCTACCTTGCAATTTTTGCACATGTTTAGATTAGGAAGTTTACCCATATTTAATATAGTAAATAAGAATGTAAAGTAGTGACCTATCTAACATTTTTTTCCTACTACAAGTGAGGAGTTATTAAACAGTGCAACTAAAAATGAATAAAAATAAATGTTGTTTTTCTTGCAAAAATGTCCTAATTGAAGATACAATTTTAAATTTTATTCATTAAATTTAGAAAAATGCTCATAATTTTTTAATTTATTTAAAATTTGATAAGTAGCACAAAATTAAGGTGTAGTAATGATGTTACATTCAATCAATTGTATGTGCAATTTTTTTACACACATGCTTAGGTATCAAGATTAGGTTTTGGACCATTATTGATTTTTTTTTCTTTTTAAAATGACTATTTAAATTTCAGATTTCTCATTCTATTAATTATTTTTCTTGAGATACTTCTAAATATTTTTTAAAAAATAATTTATCAAATCATATACCTCTAATTAGTCACAAAATGGAAAATCATAACTAATATAATATTACTTATAGAACAATGATTTTAATTGACCAAGAAAGTGACCATCTTAAATAATTTTAATTATTACCTAACCATAAGAATACTAAATATCTAATCATAAAAACTTCAATAATATGCATATTTTTATATAGAATTTATTTTTTGAGGATATAAATATATTATATATTTTGTAGAAATATATTTTATGAAACAAGAGCATAGAATTATAACATGCATTATTTTAATACCAAAAAATAGCAAAACATATGACAAGCACAATAATGCAATTAAGTGCGGTCAAAAAATATTTATTAACTTTTTAAATACTTAATTTAAAATATTTTAATTCTTTTTATATATCTATATATGCTTATCAACATTGGAAATCCTTGCTTTGTTTTGAAAAAAATAAGTTAGGTTTTTAGTATACCTCTTCTTTTATTTTGTATTTATTTTATATTGTATAAATTACCTCTTATATGCAATCTTATATTATTATATACATGTATTTTGTTTACAAATAAGACCTTAAATTATATACATTTTTTGTTTTATAATCTATAATTTTGACTAGTCTCATATTTACAAGAAAATGAAATCCCTCAATTTTCATTTTACAACATCAATTTAAATAAATCATGCTTATACAATGTAAAATAAAACTACACTTATATTATTTCTTTTGTGTAAAACATGTACACAATTACAAGTTGTAATATAACAATAGTTATATAGACCTACATGCTCATTGGGTACAATATGTAATAACTATCTTTACCCAACAATGCATTCTAAGTCATTGATAACTTTGTTTTTTTCTTTTCCTAGTATGGTTTATTGTAGCCTTCTTATGAGACCAAACATAGCTCATTGAGACTAAACTATTCAAAATATTAATTCTTTCTTATGTTATATTTCTTTTACTATAACATATAAGAGAGGGCCAAAATGAGACGGTTGTTACAAAATAGTTTTGAATAGTTACTATCTTTAAACTTTTTTTTTTTTTAATAATCAATGTATGGATGGTTGAGCAGATTTATGCCCCTTTGGTTAAATATACACCAATATGAAGATACTATTATTTTAAAAACATAATACTATTGGGTCCTTACTTTGCATTGGAAATAATATGTTAAAGTATTGGATCCCTACATACTTGTGAAGGATGTAGAAATTAATTTCTAATAGGTTTTATTTTTTTCAATAGTATCACAATATCAAAACAAAGATAAAAGAATGTTATATGTTACTTGTAAAGTAACATTATTTATAAACAAATATTTAATTAAGACAAAACTTATCTATCTTTTGGATGAATTCACAAAGAAATAGATGTACAAAGAAATATAATGCCATTTAAATAAATGTGCACATACAAATATTATTATTATTATTATATATCTATAGTATAATAGATGTGTGCCTACTCCATGAACTTACTATATAATTATGCTAAAATTAATAAAATTTAATGAAAAACTAGAGCCAATTGTAGTTGAATTGTTTCATATATCAAAGAGGTAGTTGTGTTGTTGCATCTTGTCAAAGCTTGTTACTTCCAAAATCCAAAAGCTTGTTTAATTGAGTTAGAGAACAACAAGGTGGATTAGTAAGCTTCTTGCTAATTTTCTAAAGTGTGACTTCTTGTTAATTTTGAGAACTATCTTAATAGAGCTCATTTGGCACTACTCTTCAAAGTACGCTTAAGCTTTAAGGCAACATTCTTTTGTCTTGGTAAAGATAATCATACGGGCTTTATTGCCATTACATCTAATCACATCTTACACAAGCTGAGTCTGCACATTGTAATAGATCATAAGAAATAAATATGTCACATTCTTACTAGCCTTCATATTCTCATCACTAATTAGGTCCTTGTTTTCTACATGAGCCTTCAAAAACTTGCATGTGATTTGAATTATAGAATAAATTTGAAATGGCTCAATACTCAAGACCAAGGTGTTGGAAGGAATCTTTAGTGTTGTAAAGTATTGCAAAATAAAATATAAACCTCATGTATGTATAAGTTTTGGTAGTAGCATAGATTTTGAGTAGAAATAAAGTGTGATTAGTCAACTTTTTAGCATGAATTGAGCTTACATCCAACAGAAGTAACATTCAAGCAACAATAAGTTTTTTCTCTTTGTATAAGAAGTAACAAACAATTCAGAGATTTGTGCTATGCCAACATTTTGATTTATCAAAGATTGTAAACAAATAGATAAACTATTTGGGGCAAATAAAGATGAATTGGAGAAAAAAGAAAAAAGAAAACTCAGTTCTATTCCAGTAATAAATTGTAAAATTTGAATTTCTTTGTTCACAATAATCCATTTTATTATGCTATTCATTAGATTTTAAAAGAAATAAGTTTGTCTTTGGAATGATATTAATGCAAGATTGAATGAATTTATTACAATGACTACAAAACATAATAATACATGTTTAATACTTTTTGATTATGTCTTCTGGGTATAATTTTATAACAAAATTTCATTACAGTAATCTATTGAGTTAGATCTTACAATATTAATATGAAAAAAAATTATGAAATTTTTAAAAATTAGGGATTATAGTTTAATTTCAAAGCTTTTGTATTTTTTGAAAGAAGTAGAACGGTTGAGTTATTGCTCAACAACTTACCATCCTAAGGAAGTTTAAGGTAATTTTAAACAAGTTTTTATTCTAAGATATTAATAATTTTTTATATTTTAACAACTAATTTCTTTACTAAAATAAGTTTTATATTACATCATTTTGTATAGATATTAATTTTTTTTAGTGTTTGAACAATGTTAAATTCCTTAAATCTACTATAACTTCGACTCTCTTTATATAATGTTTTTATTAAAATATTTTATTGCATATGATATTTATTATTAAAAATAAATAAACAAGAATCATTTTAAAATTTAAATGATTATTTATGCAAAAGGATTTTATTTACTTCTATTAAAAGTTTAAAATAGCATGTTTTTACTGTGATTTTTTCCATTCAAAAAAAATACTAACAATGGCCCTAGATATTCTACCAAAACCATGATATTTGTTTGGTCTGCTTCTTTTCTTTCTTGCTTACTTTGTTGAAACAAATAAAATACACAATTGAAGTAATAATTTGTTCAGGAAGCTTAGTTATTATTAAAGAATTATTTTGATATAAGCCATCACGTACATTTTTGGATAATACATTCAAAATTAACCCTCCTTATTGCATAAATAATAGAATTAAGAAAGCAGTAAAATAATATTAAAACTAAAATCAACCAAATTCAAATCTTAAACTTGGTTGTCTTTATATGTACAAACATACCTTCTATATATACGTACATATGTATCAAACGTAATCATTAAGAAAGCTAAATAATCATTGAGTCCTAAATGTTCTTTTATTAGTGCAAAAAATAATTATTATGTTTTGGCTAATATATAATATTACTGAAAAAAATCATATTTTATAAGGGCAACTAAAACATGATAATTTTTCATTCAATATTAATTTTTTTATATTATAATGACATGATATAAATACTCTTTGTTTTACCATAATGACCTTTTTTCGCAGAATAATTAATTTTGCTTAATTTTCATTAACTAAGAGTGTTGGTTTGCAATTCCTGGTAATTTAGAATTTAGAATAGATTGCAAGCAATTGCAAACCTGTAATGCACATTCAAATATAAATTTCAATTTCAAGATTTATTCCTTTCAAGAATTTCAAAAATAAATTTTGTCAAAATCTTTAATTTTCATTGAACATAATATATTTCCTTACTCAAAATTATACCCATTCAACAAACTTCAAGGACAGACTTTTTAGTCAATTGCAAATATCAATAACACACATCAATTTTACCATGTTAATATCAATTTAATTTATGCTGAGTATTTTATTGTCATTGTTACAATAGTTATAATCTCTCTCTCTCTATATATATATATACCAAAAAAAAAAACATTTATAACATAAACATTCTTTGAAACTGTTGATTTTGATTTTTGTTTCAGGAATAAAAATTACAATAAATCTATCACAATTTCAATATCCTTTGTGAAGGGCACAATGGTTAACAATCCTCGAATGTTTACATTGGAATATTGGTGAATATTTGCAGATTTTACAAGTCAATTGTAACACTAGATATCACAATAATATGACTTTTTGAGAATATTCGATGTATATATATAGAGAGAACAAATAAAAATAGTTGTGATAGCAGGAACAAAAATTGAGGTGGGATGTGTTAGAATCTCGTGGCAGTAGCCAAAACTGTAGTGCTGGTAGCAACACCCTATTTATATAATTTTTGATGAAACCCACAAAAACAGTTTAATATAACATTGAGCAGTTGTTCATTAAAAAATAGAAACTCAACTGACAAACTTGGAAATGAAATCCCATTTATTTTAAAAATATTACAGTCAATAGCATATATATATATATATATATATATAGAATGAACTAGTAGAGTGGCTGTACTTACATGACAGTGTTTTGTGTTCTAATTATAGATGGATGGCATCGACAAGGGCGCATGTTCATCTTGCCATCACTGTATCAAGGATGACCATAAAATCGACAAAGAATGTAGTAAAACCATTTTTGGAGGTGAACAGTTGAGGAGTAAAATAGCCTTGTGTGGTAAATAAAAAAAAATAGGTGACATTAAGTAAAGACACAATTTAGACACGAGTAGGATCTTACATCCTACATGAAAGAAGTTGTTTTGACATTTTATAAATTATTATTTTTTGAACATTGGATTTAATTTATTAATCAAGCAAAGAAAAATACAGATGTGAGTAGCGGAATGTGATTTACCTCCAAACTTCAGTCAGATTGTGAATGACCACAAGATTGAAATGGTTCCAGGAATCAAATCATCTTCACAAGTGCCATGTTGATAAAGTAAAATGGATACTGTTGGGCAGATACAAGTTTTAAGATGTCAGAGTGTGCAAAAACCCTGATTCCACCAGTTTGTTGTAAAAATATCATCATATTTGCATTGTGTGAAACAACATCAAAAAATTGCATGATTCATTCAATATGAATTTCACAAGTTTTTAGTGATGACTCTTGAATGATGCAAACCCTTGTTAACAGTAAATAAAATAAAAATAAAAATAAAACACAGCAGCATATCCACATATGTACACAATTTTAAAGATTGGTATACTTCTTATTTGAGAGCAGACCCCCATAGCCCACATCAGTTAAGGTGAGGCAATGTTGACATTGAAGTGGTTGTGTGGACAACAACAACTAAGTGCATTAAAGAGTATAGAATTATCATTGCCAACTTGCATTTGACACCAAAAAGGTGTAGAAAACTCGTGCTATACACAAACCCTAAACCTCTTCAACCCTTACATTCTGAGTATGACCCAAGTCAAGCTTTTGGAATGATAGCCTGGTACCAAAGGCAGGATTACCACCAGCGCAGCCAATCTTGATAAACTCTTGTATACCTTAATTGAACATCCAGTCAAATACTACAAGTGGGTACTGAGCCTGGAAACAAGCACTCCAATCGGAAAACCCTGCTTCGTGAAGTCCCAGCAAGAAGACCACCACCTCATCTGATAAGATTCTGGAAGCTTCCAGAAACTCTTCAGTGTTGGTATTGGCCCCAAGTGAGGCCATGAAAATCAAAAGAACACGAACTAGAAGTGAAGTAAAAGTTCCCCGCACGCAAGATATTTCTCTGCTATAATAAATTGATCCATCCCTTAGTACACGTGGAGGACAAGGTCCTAAGGGGGCAAAGCAAACCCTAATCCCGTGGGATGGCCCCTTGAATTGAACGGCATCCGTGACTCTCACTCTGATACCCACGACCGGCGCCATTCTTGAAATATCGTAGCAAGTACAGCGTACGACGAACGATATTCATTCGAAGCTAGGGTTCGGGGGTCAAGGCGTAGGGCCCTAATCCCACACGTCAGTTGAGCGCATCTGTTTTTTGTAGGAAGGGGGAGGATGGACGACGTTCGTAGAGCTGGACTGAGAGAAGAAGAAGAAGAGGGGAATCCGGCAGATGGTTGTTAATGTGCCCTTCCGGCTGTCTTTCGGGCTGTCTTTCAGGGCTGTGACGTGTAGGTGACCAGCCGTGAAGTCGTGGGAGAGGTCCTCTTGCTCTGCTTGTTATAAGCAGCCATCGCGTGTGACGCATGACTTGTTGTCTTGTCTCTCCATCGGGTAGTGAGTGTGAGAGGTCCGCTGCCAGGAGAGAGCTGGTGTCGTCGTCTCCTGCGGAAGCTCCCCTCGGCACGACGCTCTTGTTCACTGCCTCACCAGCTCTTGCTGCGTTTCGCAATGGCGTTCGCGAAGATCCATGTCGCCAATCCCATCGTGGAGATGGATGGTACGGCGTCTTGTGCTCTCAATGGGATCGGGGTCGTCGAGTGTGTTGCAGTGATTCAGGGTTTATGTGTCGTGTATTGAGAGTCCTGTTGCCAGGGGGCGTATGCTTGGCGTTCTCTGTTGTTGTTTCGAGGCCTTGCTGTGATGGACTTTTGCTCGGGAACTTCGCAATGGAGCTTGCAGTGTAGGTTTCGAGTTTATTCGTATCAGCTTCGCTGCGTTCTGTTTATGACGTTGCACTCATTTTAGGGGAGGTATAGTGCGTCCCTGCACTTTCAACAAGCTGGTGATGACGGCTTTGGGGTCTTTCATCGTTTAAATATTGTATTAGGTGGGGTCGGAGGAAAGAGCACTTTATATCTTCTGACATGAAAATTTTACATGACCCGATTAGCTTGTTGGATCTGGCGCATCTATGTCTGAGATCTTTGCAGTTCGCCAGTTTGTCATCTCTCTCTCTCTCTCTCTCTCTCTCTCTCTCTCTAGGATTGTATGAAGCGCAGTGCTGATGGGGAGGTACAATTGATCACTCCTCTCAGAACTAGAGTTTGAGTTGCCATTATCGATTCATATAGTCTGCGACCTGGTTCTCTGTGATACCTCGTTCTTTTTATTGTAAACGAATCCTTTATTGAAGAATCTAATGTTCACACTGTTATATTGCACTGAGGGAGATAGGCCTTTGAATTTCGGGGAGGAATGTTATGTTTTTCCATTCTGGCGTCTGCGTTGTTTACCCTCGTCAATGTTCGTGCCCGTCGATTTATGTGCTTCTGGAAACTTGACTATTTGAGCTGTTATGCAGGAGATGAAATGACCAGGATCATCTGGAAAATGATCAAGGACAAGGTGCGGTCTCTTACCACTACCGTACAGTTCTGCTCGTAGGCATAGCTAAAAACTGATTTTTTATCCATTCGACTCTACAAATTAAGAAAGAATGATTTGTTGCGCGTGCCTTCATTGATTGAAGGAATATAGTGAAGAAGTCGGTAGAAGTCGGGGTGGTGGCTCTCAGTTGTCGGTGCTTAGTATGCATTTGCAGGCTGTTTCTGGTATATTGCGCTTTCAATGGCTCTTTTAAACTAAGAGCAGTTGCCTACAGTACTTCATGCGATTCAGGGGGAGATCATCATATTATTTTGGTAGCTTGACATCAAATGCCGTGAACTGAAGAGAGCTTTGATACTTCATTTTTCTTTGAATTGTCTGCAATTCCTTATAATTATGTCTACTACAAGTCGCATGCAGAGGAATTGTTTTAAGAAGTATTCTAATTGTGCTACTGTATTTGCAGCTCATATTCCCATTTCTCGACTTGGACCTCAAATACTTTGATCTCGGAATTGAACATCGAGATGCTACTGACGACAGAGTGACCATTGAGAGCGCTGAAGCCACGAAGAAGTAGGTTACGATTTCGTTTCCTATCCTATATTCTATTTGTAGAACGACGGTATCTGCACAGAAGTTTCTTTACTTAATTCAGTGTAAGATGGGTTGGCCGCCTCACAAGAATTGATTTTTCCTTTTAATTCAGGTACAACGTCGCCGTGAAGTGTGCGACTATTACACCCGGTTTGTATTCAATCCTATTATTATTTATGTTTGCGTAGGTTTAATGTGCAATGTGCTTTTATTTTTTTAGACCTTTTCAGCTTAAAATGTCTTGCTTGCACTTGTTTTATTGTATGTAAATATTGTAGTTCAGAAGCTGACGTCTATAACCGTTAGAAAGATATTGTTGTGGGGTTTTATATAAGTAGTTTAATATCTGTTTATTATCGAAGAAGCTGTTCACGTTACTCCTGTCATTTTTTATTGGTGAGCAGATGAGGCTCGTGTGAAGGAATACAACTTAAAGTCCATGTGGAGAAGCCCCAACGGAACCATCAGAAATATCCTCAATGGTAAAGTTCTTTTTGATTTGATACTTTTCCTATTACCTTTTGTTGACACTTCTGAATAAGTCGGTTCATTAATTTGTGCTGCTCGGACTCGATTGATTAACAAATTTTTCTGGTGTTTAGGTACTGTATTCCGGGAGCCCATTCTTTGCAAGAACATTCCCAAACTTGTCCCAGGTATCAACTCTTCTGTCAATCCTGAACTCGGACGGATCTGTCTGACCGTCCATCCTAATCGGCCCTTTTCCAGCCCGGTCGTTTTACGTCGATCTTCACTGTCTCTTGCAATTGGTCTAGCTCTTTGACGATCTACATGTTCACAATGGAAACGATGATTTGGTGTCAGGATGGACGAGTCCCATCTGCATTGGGAGACACGCCTTTGGTGACCAGTACAAGGCTACTGATGCCGTTTTTAAAGGCCCAGGAAAACTGAAGATGGTGTTCGGTAAACTTCTTTCCACTGCCCCCGCTGCCTCTGTCCCAAGCTTCGTATTTAAAATGGATAGCAATGAGGCAAATCCGTTACTCTTAAACATTTGTGTGTCATGAAGATATTATTGAGTCTTTTACTAATTTAGCTCATTTCGAAGTTGCAGTCCCAGAGAATGGGGGAGAGACCCAAGATCTTACAGTTTATGACTTCGAGGGTGCTGGAGGCGTTGCTCTGACGATGTACAACACTGATGAGGTATTTTAAATTCTCTTGGATTGCTGCAAAATTCTCCTTCGCATTTTTTCGCGACAAATGTAATCGAGAGTGCTATGTGGGGCGCAATTGCGAATTGATAAATATCGATCTGTATGCTAGGAAGCTGAAGTCCTCCAAGAGTTCTATCTGGGGATCCGCACAGTTCTGATTGTATCGCAGTTCACACCATGTCGTTCAAGTGTTACCATTCATTCTAGCAGGATGTACCGAATTGACGTGAAACAGTTCTTCAATATCTAAATGGCTATGGTTACGTGTGGGTTTGCAGTCCATTCGATCCTTCGCTGAATCATCTATGGCAATGGCTTATGAAAAGAAGTGGCCGTTGTATTTGAGTACAAAGAACACAATCCTGAAGAAATACGATGGAAGGTATGATTTCAGAACTACAGCGGAATGCGTTGCTCCTGAGAACAGATTTAAGAAACCGCTTAATTAAATGTACTTGGTGAAGAATTGCTCATCCTCTGTGTATTTGTATTGCAGATTCAAAGACATTTTCCAGGAAGTTTATGAGCAGGAAGGGTGGAAGGCTAAGTTTGACGCCGCTGGAATCTGGTAAGTGATTTCTGCCTGCTTGGGATGTGTTTTGGGACTCTTTGCATGTTTAAATTATGGTTTATTCTGGTTATTATCTTGCTTAAACTTTCTAACCGAGCATGTACTCGACAGGTATGAACATCGTTTGATTGATGATATGGTAGCATATGCTTTGAAGAGTGAGGGAGGTTACGTTTGGGCTTGCAAGAACTACGACGGTGATGTCCAGAGTGACATGCTCGCGCAAGGTGTGTGTACATTATGTATAAGTTGGATTGTAATGTACATGCTCATTTTGTGCATCTTTTTGATGCTGTTTGCTGTATTGTTAACTACCTCCATGAAATGTAATATTCTACGACAATCAGCATGAAAATTAGTGAAATGCATTCTACAACCATGTAATGAAAAAAGACCAGTCCGGCATTAATGTTGAAGTTCAGAAACTTGCGATCCGTACTTGTCGATATTTCTTGTATCTTTTTTATGTGGTTTTTGATAAAGTAGGCACTTGGTTTCTATGCAGGTTTTGGGTCCCTTGGGCTGATGACATCAGTACTTGTAAGCTTCATCTTTTGAAACAGCGTCTGTTTACAGAAGTGATTGGAAGTGCTTCATCAAAGGGATGCCTGAAAATAGTTCCACTTCATTCTTAATGGTATCATTGATACTTGCGTGGAAATGTTTCGGCTCTCCTTGTTATACCCGAATACTGTGTTGAATATTTTCTATTTTGGTGCTTCTAGGTTTGCCCCGATGGAAAGACCATTGAAGCTGAAGCGGCTCATGGAACTGTTACTCGTCACTACCGCGTGCACCAGAAGGGTGGAGAAACAAGCACCAATAGTATCGCCTCTATTTTTGCGTGGACCCGAGGTCTCAGTCACAGGTTTGTTATCTTTCTACCGTGTCCTAACTCATCTATATGCGGTGTCTTACTCGTCTTTATTATTGCCACTGGCGCATTATCAATGCTAGCAATATACTCACAAAAGCCGAATAGAAAAGTTCGCCAAATTGGCGAGAATTTGTGTGGAAATGTACATTTGTGTGGAAATTTACTAAATTTACTTTTTGAAACGAAGCTCTTCAGAAATTGGCATGTCTCACTTTAATGTGGTTTGCATGCAGTAGTTTCTAAATATTAATTCTGTTTTTATCTACAGAGGAAAGTTGGACGGTAACGAAAAGTTGGTTGACTTCGCTACGAAGCTCGAACAAGCATGCGTTGGCACTGTCGAAAATGGCAAAATGACCAAGGATCTAGCTCTTTTGATTCACGGATCCAAGTAAGCCTCCTTAATTCATCCTGCAATATATTTTTCTATCAAGGGTACTTTTGTTTGAATTGGGATTTCTATGTCAATTAGATGTTTTCTTTCGTCACTAAGGCATGCTTGCCTCTGCAGGCTCTCAAGAGACACATACTTGAACACAGAAGAGTTCATTGATGCAGTTGCTGAGGAGTTGAAGTCGAAGCTCTGAATATTGAATTTGTAAGTAAGCATATTTTTACTACACAAAAAACACTCCTAAAGACTCCTGCGTTTGGAGAATCCGGAGAAAAACAATCAATCCTCTAAACAATATATTGGTAGCATCGGCATTTTTTTCGGTCTGTTACTGAAAATTCAATGTCGTGAATCGTCATGAAGCTTTACTCCATAGAATATGTGGAATAGGCTTTCTCACACCGGAATCGTAAGGATATCATTACGGCTTTAGCAACTTGTTTAGGGCATGATTATTAAAAATACAATAGCTCTGTGAATTGTGTGTGCAGAGCATCCGACACGCGTTGTGAATGATTTGATAGTAAATACCTTAGAACCCAGTGTAGGGTTACACAAACCCTTTTGTAGGGCTGAGAACGTCATCGTTCTGTTCACCGCTCTGAGTTCTTTGTCGCTGGCAGGAGTAGTTGTATTGCTCCTACTCTGCAGCGGTGCAACTGCTACTTTCTTTCGAGTACATTTGAGTGATCCTTTGATAAACTCGCAATACCGATCATCCCAAGCAAATGTTGGTGAGCTGTGACGATGTCCATTATCTCCTGTTCTTGCAGAGTCGGAGTCACCAGGAATCGACTTCTGGTCATCTTTTCTTTCGTTCACCATAGAACTGGTTTTGAATCCCTCTCCACTGAATCTTCAACACAGTTATGCCAAATACTGAGCGTTCTGACAGTCCTATTTTATAACTGGATTTGTAGAAATGGAACTGAATATAGTTTTCATTTTTGTCATTAATTGACAACCATTTGTCACGTTTGATAAAATTCATCATCACTTTGGGTCAGCTGCTGGATTCTGAACTCTTTCTAATGTACAATTGATTATTTCTAGACTAATGCATACATATGTATGTTTGAGAACATTTCCACATAAATTTCACAACCATTCCCCTGCACTAATAGACTCGTGCAGATTGGCTATTACTGAAAATCATGAAACTTGGTAAAATAAGTCAGAGCCTCGTAAAAGATGAATATAATTACAATGTTGTCGTTACATAATTTCTCGTACGAAGGCTAAAAACATCTATTAGTCAAAGCACAGGACTTAATTCACCAACACGCACCATGTAGATTCCTGTTACTGCAACAACGACAATAACTACCTCACCTCGGTGTCCTCGATGCGCTTGAGCCGTGCGGTGGCGTGCGCTCATCCATTGTGCACCAACTGCACATCTCCAGATGAACGCACTGTTGTACTGACATTTGAACGTTCTAGAAACTCATTTCCATCAATCATTGTGAAGACGTGAGACACCGTCTTTGATCTGTAGCACTGAAACTTCCATCCACTACAACTGACTTGGAAGTGTATCAAATGCTTCTAATCTGTCAAACTGCAACTGATCATGAACGACTTTCTTACTGTGACACACGTATCTGACATCATGAGGAATTTTATCAGTACTAATTCTTATACTCTGACATCATGATGACATTCCTATACTCTGACATCATGATGACATTCCTATACTCTGACATCATGAGGAATTAGTACTGATAAAATTCGACCAGACCAGCTGCAAAACATTGTGAAACATTTCCTGGATTATTCGACACACAGGTTCAATCAACCATATGCGGGGTTACAAACAGAGCGGGTCATAATCTAGAAAAATTGTCTACATTGTACGCCTATGTAAAATATGCCAAATTACACAAGCTGCACTGTCGTAGATGTGTCGATCGATAACTTTTGCACTGTCAGAGCCCCATTAAAAAATCGCACAAGTCAAACAACCAAGAAATTGTGCCCAATTTGGCAACAACGTACATCACGCGTTTGAACAATCGTTTCCTAGTGAAGAAAATAGATTCTCAACTCGAACACTCATGTGATTGATACATATAAAGCTAAGGAGAAGGTCGTTCCAGTTGGTATTTATAACTACAGGACAGAAAAACGTACAGTCGTAATAAGACCTAATTCATCAGGGACCTGCTGAATACACTCTTCTGAAAACAGCTTCACTCATCTCTCAATAAGTAAAGAGAGGCAAGTGAGACCACCATCCACCTTGTGAAACTCAGAGATGTTGACTGGAATAACATGTTTAGCATGTTGCTTGAAATGAGCTTCCAGGTCGGCTGGAAGTCCAAGAGTAGCAGAGCATATTACAGTGTCACCCACCAGCACCGTGTTGGCTGCTCCTGCTCCATCAGTTTTCACTATCTTGAAGTGACCATTGGTCTGCTCTTGGATCTCGTCAAACATAGCTGCTGCAGCAACACTGTCTTCCACGGCTAGGGTTTGTGGTGCAATCTCGCTGATAACTGATACACGTCACCACAAAACAAATGAATGTATATTAACAGTCTTAGTGATCTACCATGGGGAAGAAAGTTTGCATATATCAAACGAAACGTTGGATAACGATTTATACACCAATCACGGAGAATGGTGAAGAGGTTGAAGGGTAGTCGTACCTGACTTCAAGTGTAGACCATCCAGAACTCTGATGATATGCACTTTCACATCTGGAAACGCCTTTTGGAGGAACTCAATTCCTGCTGCATTCGTTCGCCTGTAGAATGCCAAGAAATAAGTGCGTTCGAAGCCGTTTCTTAGATTGATTAATTATGATCAACTACTGGGACCAAAAGGATGACATGAACTTGTAGTAGTGAAAATCTATCCCAAAAACTATGATAGAACAAGAAAACTCTTCACTTGCACATCTAAGTCCCAACTTCCAAGCAAGGAACTGTTGGGCGTCTATGATGCAGTCGCAGTTTATTCCTGAACTGAAAACAGACACATATTAATTGAATGGCGAGTAAGATTCGTCACTACAAGCACTGGGTTAATATCACAAATGTGCAGGGGGAGGTTCGAGGTGAAATCGTACCGGCTCTTGCCTACAAAAAGCATACCGGAAGCATACAATACGTCGCCGCCATCAATTGTGCCAGGGCATTCCACTTCAGAAATGTCCAATCCCAACTGTGTCAAAGCTTCCCGAATAACCACCTCCTCTCCCTGTCGCGAAGTCGCCCCCTGCCACATGGCCAAATGTTTTGTCAATGACCGGGCCCCTAGCATAAAGGCCGTAAACCTCAAAAATGTTCAGATTGCTGTCATCAAAAGGAAGAAAAGTAACGCAGTAGAATCAAGGAAAACTCAACTATTGGACCCAAAAACTAAACGCTATCATGTGAGCTTTTAAGTACACATTCCTCCCAGATGTATCGAGCCGGTTCCAAAAGCGAAATGAGGTTCAACAAAATATGTTCTCAAGCCCAAACCAATTGCAAAACAGGACGAGACCAAGAAATTAGCCAGGATTGCATAATCGGCATTGCATTTCTCCAAACAGGTTTGGATTTCATACGTGTTGCGTCATCAATCCAAGATCTAACTATATACACTGGCATACATCGAAGCATTTACAATGATTCAGAGGAGATTGCGTACAGGATGTGTAATTAGTGCCCTATTGCCAATAACCACTGCCGTGTCTTCAATGAACGGGCAGTCAGGGTACTTGTTATCAGCTGGCAACCGAATTACCTCCTTCACCAATCCTGCCAGAAATTCAACAAGTTTCATTACCATATCCTTTATGAAGAACAATTTTCATTTGTACCTGTTAATTTCTACAAACAAATGTTTCACAGCACAATTCTCTCGTAGAACTGTTTCCTTTTAATTTTATGAAATGCGAATGCTTGTGGGCTGACCTGCAAGAACCTCTACATATGTCTCGTGCTGCAAACGCGCCACTTCAAGATCTACGGGCACCAGTGGGTGAACCATGGACAGAGCATCGCAGAAGGTGTCCGGAACTCCGCGAACGATTGCGATTCGGGAAGCCATGACTCCTCCTTCTGATCAGAACCCACGCAGGAACACAGTCAGCGCATGTAAAGTCCCAACACCATGTCATCCTCGTCGACTCTCTGAAGTGCCCAGTTGGATCGAATCCACCAGGTAAAAACTTCAAATCCAAGTTTCTGAACACAACCATGACCGCCTTGACCTATTCATCCAACAACTCAAAATGCCGGTAGGAAACCCTTCGAATTCGAAACCAAAGTAACAAATATATGAAAGAAAAAAACAGAGAACAACAAAAATTCGAACTATTTCCACAATAATAATGTCGCAAGTCATAAAACGAATCACCCACCTCCAGAACTTAGCCGCTCTCCTCGAACTGGAAAGTTCTCTAGCCCGCTTCTGCAATACACACCGGCATACAAACGAGCAAGATTCCTATCTCCAAGCTACAATTACAGCGGTGGATCAGCGGTTGCTGCAAACAAACACATGTGCGTTGGGATTCCAAAGGACAACAACGATGGATTGGTGGGAAATTCGCTGCTCTAATCAGATTCCAAGTACTCTCGTTCGGAAAGGACGAGCGAAAGCTTTCATCTGTGCAAGAATCATCCTGAGAAAAGGTATAAAAGTATGATCAGTCATAGTCACTGTGCGTAAAACGTGAAGGCAAGTTGCTAGATTGGAGGTTCGTAGACCATTTCGGACTGACACATCTACGAAGACGGAATTATCAAATGTCGATGCTTAAGACCACGCCAACTCGGATCGATAGTCTCATGCTGGAAGGTTGATATACTTTAAGCCATGGCACTCTTCATCGTTCCGTCGACATAAACACCTTGTGATAGAACACATTTCAGTAGTTTTTTCCATCAGAGTTGTTTATCTGTTCGTGCTTCGGTGTACATTGCTGATGCATAACACATACTTGAATCTGCTGATGTCCGGCTTCCTTCAAGCTTTGTCATTGTCATTTAGCCCACGCAAAAGGCTCGGCGTTACATGCTCAATAGCAGCCTTGACTACTGTCGTGGTGCATCAAGTGGGTTTTGCAAAAAACGATTGAGTGCCGAACCCTAAATTAAGTGCATATCTTGAGTCTGCAGATCGCATATCACATACCCTGTCCGGCAACCTCATTCATGTAGTCAATCGCCGAATACCCAAGTCAGTCCTGTCCTCGAACAGAGCAGAGTGACGGCTGTAATGCCCAAATCATACTGCGACATCTAAAGGGCCTGTTACCCTTCCGGCGAAAGATGAAGCTGGCCAAAGTTGTAAAACGCGAGGCTTAAGCCCTAATCCTAACTTCTGCGCTAAATGATCTCGGAATAACCCTTGGAGAGAGCTCAATAGGTGTGCCTTGGTCAAAATATTGACAACACAGCTCGCATTGTGCTCCGGCAGTCGTAGAGGCAAATCGGCTGGCGAGGCAAATCGGCTGGCGAGGCAAATCGGCTGGCGATTTACATCGTCCCAGTTACCATCCATACAACATAGAAGTGCGATATTTCAATACCAGCAATAAAATCCTGTCGGAACCATCCCTTTTCTGGCAGCGACGTGCGACCTTCCCCGTAATCCATTTCTCGCTGTCACGAAAAAACTATAACAACATCTGCTCCGAGATAATTGTCATCGCTAGAAGGAGGGGTCGAACCTCCGACCTTGTGGTTAACAGCCACACGCTCTAACCAACTGAGCTATTCCAGCACATGCCAGATTTCATTTCAACTAAATATTCATAACTATTTCTTCTCATACTTTGTTACATTAAAGGGTGAAAACTGTTGCCATTGCTTCCAGACAGTCTGGAAGTGTAGGAACAAGTGGCGTATTAAATGAGGTGTTCTGACTGAGAACCTTGTAATCAATTTAGCAATGGAGTCGCAGCTTTTGGCTCAAAGAGAGGAGGGGACTATCTTGTATCTGAGAAACTGAGTGGAGCCGAGGACGTTTCACGGGGAAGCGGGGATCGGCAGGCGAAGGCATGCAGCGTAAAGAACGACCTGCACTATTCAGAACAATCTACCATAGTCGGGAGAAGTATGTGGAGAGGGTCTGGTCTTCGTGAGGAGCAAATGCCTGTGATTCTGCGAATGAGTCAGAACCACGGCATCAGAGACAAAAGATAATAGTTAGGACAAGAGTTGGAATTTACCGTGATGGAACGCGGCGACGAGAATCTGCGCATGGTACTGACGGGTCAAAAAGCGAATGAAAAACTCAATAACTAACTGTACTTCTAAGAGGTCGCTTCAATAACTGGACATCGTAATCGTAACCATCCACAAATACGGAGCAACTCGCAAACACAAGACACCAAATGTCAAAGCCGCCTTCCCAGGATGCTAAACCTGCAGACGTACATGCGTCAAACCCGAAGAATAATTCTAATCATATCGTACTTTTCAGAGAATGAAACAAACCTTATCTGTAACTCTTGAAAATGAAGTCTTCGTCTTCACGGGAAGACCTCCTCCATCGTTTCGCTACAGACTCGCTTCACTTTCTGCATCCGTACTGATAAGAACAAACAACACCCCCAACAATCGCAACAAGTTTCAGAAGTCTCCACAGAAATGCCGAACCCCGTCGACTTGCACTAAATCAAACAACCCGATAGCTTTTCAAACATGCTTCCTAACAGCTACACCACAGCTCTTCGACTGCAACTTGTTTACGAATCCCTGCCAATTTCAAGGTCACCACACCAAATCTCTATTCTAGAATAACCCTCGCCGACACATCCGGCGCAGTGGACAACACTCAAACCCTAAACAGTTCGATTGGAAGTAAAAACGCGTTCCTTAACTCCCACCCTTCTTCCCTTGCTTGCCACGGATATAGGGTCCTTCGTTGCTAATACTTCGTTGGTCTTAACTTTTCCTTTGATGACAGCTTTTTTGGAGTTTTTGATAGAACTTGATTAATTATCATTTTTCTTTTTTTACAGATACACAATTAAATAATCCATGTGTTTCAATCCAAGCGTTAATTTATTTTTCCTTGTGATAATTGCTCTTCAACGAGACTCAGATATATTTAAACATATAGGAGTTGCTAAAACCACACACCAATGTTGTTAAAGCAATGTTGCAAAAATCAACGTTAGCTAGTGGTTCATTTTGCAAGTAACAAAGCCCAGTAGGTACGTCGGCGCTGTACACCGCATGAACTCATTAGGAAAAAAATAATAAAAATATAGAAAAAACAAAAAATCAACAACAGAACAACTATGAGAGCTTGGGCAGTTTTACGCCCCCCTCCAAAAACTATTGAAATCAGCTTCGTTCACTGCCGTCTTTGTTTTTCGAGACGATCAGTGGACAAAGGGGCCAACAAAAATACACGAAGCTTTGACCCTCGTTTACTTTCAGCTTAGTTGAATATCAGTTAAGTGGACACTAAGTACTCAGACCTAAACCAAATACCAAAGGCACACAGAAGCAAAATATATATATATTAAAATTAAAACTAAATTTAAAGAAGAGTCGCAGTCCAACAGTCCGACGTGGAACCCGAACCTCGCCCGCGGCAGGCTCCACCTCAGCACTGACCGACAATTACCACACCTGCCATTTGGGTGGAATATGCCACGTAGGATTGAATCTCGTTCCAGCGAATGAGAGCCGAGGGGTAAGCATCACACACGTGGAATCACCTGGTAACAAGCCGAGAAGGAAGGTGCCAGGAGCAAGGGGGGGCTTCAAACTTCTGGGTCCTTCCGGGCTTCGGGGGGGGGGGGGGGGGTCCAAGGCTCGAGAGGAGGAGGAGGAAAGAGGGAGGAGCGGTGCCGACGCAAGCGGCATCGAGTTAAAACGAGTGGCCAGGGATTTGAGTGGGGCACCATCCTATGGAGTTCGGAGGAGCCCATTTGACGAGGGAGGCTTTTCCTGGTGTAGTAGATTGGGGTTTGGACACACCCTTCCTTCCACGTCGGGTGGTGGCAACGAACGCCATAACTCTCATTGTCACCACTTCGACGACGCCTGTGTTTTTTGTGCCGGAGCGTGACACCGTGGTGGTGCGGAATCAGGGCCATAGAGAGAGATTTTTCAAATTCTCGTAACCTCGTCGTCAGGTTGAACCTCCTTCTTTCCAGCGGAGTTTGCGTCACCGTAGTTTTTAATTTTGTCTCAGGTCGGCATCGCTCACGCTCATTTTCCTCTGGCGCATGTTCTTTGGAGGTTTAGCTTCGAGGTAGTCTTAGTAGGATTGGCTTGATTGTTTGTTGTATGGTGATACGGGCATTGCGTTTTGGTGAGTGATGCTGTGGATTAGGGTTGTTGCCTGTAACCTTCTCGACCTTCTGAGATGCTCCGCGATGTGGATTCCTTCTCTCTCTCTCTCTCTCTCTCTCTCTCTCTCTCTCTCTCTCTCTCTCTCTCTTTATTTATTTATTTATTTATTTTTTTCTCCCTCGCTTTTGAGTCTCATACAAATTCTTGAGAGATTGAATCAAATGGCATATGAACTTACGCCGGCAGTAGCGTGCAGAAGTTTAGATTAGTGGTTTCAAGGTGGTCGATCCAGCCATAACTTTTGATTGAATCTGTCAAGTATCGGTGATTGGAACTAGATCGCAGGTGATCCACGACTGAGAGTTATCAGTGTTTCTGTCAACTCTGTTCTGTTGCTGTTGAGGGCATGTTGTCTCTTGATTCAATTCTCTGTGGGATTACGAATAAGAGGCTGTAAGCAGTACGCTAGTGTGTAGTGAAAATAGGCGTCGATGATCATGATGTTTCACTTAGGGCTATGTATTCTTTGAAAAAAAAAAGAAGGTGTAATTTCGTCTTCCACGGTCTTTTAAACGACGCAAATTTCATGGCCGTGCCTGTGAACTGCTGGCTTTGCACCGATGGGAATAGGCCATTTAGTTGTTTCGCATCCGGGGATCTTTCTCTACGGACGAGTTTTTCGTTTTTTCGTTTTTTTTCTGCGCCCGTTTGCATAGCTGCTGTTGTTGTGTTCACTCAGCCAACAATCCAGAAGCTTTCCATGAAAGCTAGCTGGCAAGTTCAGATTCACATTAAGGTTATTTTAAAATAGTCGTGCTATCTAGAATCTTCCGTGAGTTTTAGTTATATACTAAAGGGCATGTTGAGTTGTCCCAGTCTTCCTTTAGTGCTGTATGGGCTGCAGGTTTTCGCAGTCAATGACAGGGTTTACTGCTTGACTTTCTCGTTAGAGGTTTTAGATGATTAATTGCCAAACGAGGTTAGCAAGAACTGGAGGAATTCTACTCTGTTTATTCTAGATTTTTTGCTAAATTCCCTGCTCTGACACACCGAAGGGGTACTCTTCTCATCTATATTTCCAAGCATTCCGCATTTTTATACTGAAAAAGTTTAGATGCTCAATGAGCGCTTACTTGTTCTCCAAGTATATGAACATGTATACTTGAATAAAACTATATGCATTTGTGAATGCTACTGGTTGATTTTTTTTCCCTCGCATCATAATTACTACTTGTACTAATTTTTTTGTTCTTTTCTTGTGTGTTTTCCTTTGTTTTGTGCAGTGACGACGGAGATGGATATTTGCATCTTTTTAGTCAGAGAAATTCCACGCATCAAGTAGTTCCTCTCAAACTAGTAGTTGTTATTGTTTGGATTTGAATATTTGTCTTTGCAGCGCAAGGCAGCAGAGATTTGATTCTTTGAGAAATAGGGAAACGGGAAGACATTTAAGTGGAAGCTTATAAAATCCTTGACCTTCATCAATCAACCTGTGGCTTGCCGCTTTGTGTCGGTTATTGTTCTGGATTATAATTTAATCAGAAAAATTTCAAATCCAACTTAGGAATTTCGCCGAAACAATCAATTTCGAATAAGCGATTTCGGCATTTAGCGCTGCTGATTCTACATTTGCTGCCGGCATCCCCATTCAGTGTCAAGAAACTTTACTCTAATCCAAAGTGATGGCGAGAGAGATTGGAAGTCCAGAGAATCAGGCAGAATTTCTAAAAGATCAAGGGAATCAGTATTTCAAGAAGGAAAAGCTTGGGGCTGCAATCGAGGCCTATACTCAGGTCCGTTCAGTTGCCATCTTTTTAATTTTGAATTCTTGGTCATTCTACTTCGTGACTCTTTTTTGAAACGTCTTTCGGTTCTTTCTTCCTGGATTTTTCATTAATCTGAGCTTCGCAAGGTTTACTGCTTTTATCAGAGTGAGGGCCAAAACCGATCTTGGATTCTTTGTGCTTCCAGATTAGTCTTCTTGTATGCTGCAGAGAGTCGTTTGAGGTTCCGTTTGATTCATACACATCAATGAGGACTCTTGATTAACCTCAGACGATGCCATGAAATATGCTAACATTTTTCTTGTGGGTAAATGGATTTTCTTCGTTCATAACAGGCAATAGATTTATGCCCAAAGGTTCCCGCATTTTGGACGAATCGAGCTCTATGTTACAAGAAACGGAAGTAAGTTTTGTTTTCTAAATTTTCTACGTATTTGAACAAATGTTATACAGTAATTCTTGAACCTCTTGGTATCTTCTGTGTCTGAACATCGGATCCGTTGTTTGCAGCAGCAGGTGTTCTGTGAAAGCAGCTGTCTTTGAGATATAGCTTATGGATATTTTCATTTGTCTCATCTATCTAGTTTTAAGATCCATCTGTTTTTTTGCAGTGAATGGGGCAAAGTTGAAAGAGATTGTCTAAAGGCATTAGAGCTCGACAATAGCTTAACCAAGGTGTGTGCGAGCAGCATATTCAAAACCCGAGAATTAATTTCTGTAGTACAGTGCATGTGTTGTGATGTTTTCAAGAAATCTCTGTAATGGTGTGTTCTGGTTGCGAGAGTTTATTAGCATCTTGTTTTTCTTTAGGTGTACGACTTAAATATCTTATATGATGGAGAGAGGAGCATTTTTTTTAATTGGAATTTGTGGATGTGATGTTGCAAGAGTTTTTGATCGCTAGATTGCTTTTTTGACTTTGTAAGTAAGGCTAGGGATGAAGCCCTGCATTAACTCGCAGGAATCATTTTTTGATATCATTGATTAAATGAGCTCCTGATCAAATCTGCGTTTGTTCACCTTACAGGCACACTACATGTTGGGTTTGGCCTTATTCGAGCGAGAACAATATCATGATGCTACGAAGCATCTTGAAAAGGTATAATTATTTCGTCTTATGCCAATTGCTATGCACGTGTAATAGATATCTAACTTGTTATTAGTATCTCAAGAAGATCACTGCTGAAGTAAGGTGGTGGGTTATTTTTAAAAACTTCGTGATATATTGTTGTTGAACGACAGGCCTTGGAATTGGGAAGGGGAGCCAGCGCGGGTAGCTACATGGTTGAAGAAATTTGGCAGGAACTCGCAAAAGCTCGATACATAGAGTGGCAGGCTGAAGCCAAAATCAGGCAGCGTCAACAACGTGACTTGAAGTAAGTAACGTTCCTTGGAGTTGACTAATTGTATTTCACTTGATGAGGAACTGAAATATTGAGAGTCTTGTTCTTGAGAACTGCTTATTAAGTCAGCCAGAGACAGAATCTCTAATCCATGGCATGCTTGCTTGAAAACGAAGCACCTCCACTTCCCAGCTGTCAAAGTGGAATAATTAAGAGTCATGTTAATATCTAAGATGATCGCAAAATGACATCATCATGCCAGGGATTTGGACGGATTGAGTTTCTGCTTACGTTTATGATGTCGATTTGGAAAGTTTTATGATGCATAATAGTTTTGATGTTTTTTGGGATGTGTAGGGATCATTTGTATACTCTTCTCAAGCAAGATTATGAAAACAAGCTAAAGAGTTTAAAATTAGGAGCATCAACCGAGCAGGCTCAGTTTGGCTACAGAAAAGATCCGAGTGGAGTTATTCACTTGACTGATGAAGAGTTCACCGATTTCGAAAGTGCCTACTATCCAGTCGAGAATTCGCAGACCGGTTCTGAGGAGCGCCGTAAGGCAGAAATTTCCCAACTCAATGAAGATTTTCAGAAGCGTCTTCGAACGATGGAGGAAGTCTTCGATAAAGCTGGTGTTCCGGACAGGCCTGGTGAGGTGGGTATTTTCAACTTCTTCCGAATTGTCATGAACCGTCTTTGGACAAACACAATTTTTTCTCGAGATACTAAGTCAACACCAGAAGCTAACAGGACATGTTGTGTACTTGTTCCGATGGTTGGTGTTCATAACTAGTGTGTTGCTGGTTTTGCAGATACCTGATTACCTGTGCTGTCAAATTAGTATGGATATTTTCAGAGATCCTGTTATCACACCAAGTGGTGTGACATACGAGAAAGCTGTTCTTATGGAACATCTTCGAAAGGTTAGTGCTACTCTTTCTACATTGTGCACATAGCGACTTTATTTAATGATACCCAGTTTATTGAGCGCGATTTAGCTTCATTCTTTCCCTCTAAATGCGGACAACTTCATAAATGATATCTCTCGTGCTTTGGTGTTGAGGAGGATGAGTTCTGTTAATTCTTGTTTTTAATGCTCTACTTTGTTTCACATTTGTCGACTTTGATGCAGGTTGGCAAGTTCGACCCACTTACAAGAGCACCGTTGTATCCAGATCAAGTAGCTCCAAATCTAGCTATCAAAGAAGCTGTTCAAACTTTCCTCTCCCAGAATGGGTGGGCGTATAAAACATAAGATCTACAAGCCATCACTTTATTTTGAAGGAGGCATGACATAGCTAGAGTTGCGTCGCGTGTGAGGTGAACATGATTGCGAAGCTTCATGCTTAATTATTCCAAACAGGACCTTCGAAGCGGAGGCTGAGGTTGCATTGTTTCCTGATATATGTACATAATTTACTGTGTAGGTTGTAGTGAAATGAAGGTAGTCTAGTGTCTCAGATATAGTAAGGTTAATGTAGGAGGTGGGATTTGTCCAAGGTGTAGTTTGAGAATGTTGCTGTTTGCTCCTCTGAATTGGGGCTACTTGAAACCAATTTTGACCAGTGGTAGCCAGCACAAATGATTTGGTCATCCAAGAAGTGAACATTTGTAAATGCCATTAGTGAAGGTCAGCACGATCGTTGACAATCTCATTTAATCCTCACCATGGTGTCCCTTCCAAGTGTCCCTCCCTGCATTTCTGACAAGCCTTCATGTTGGCTGATGTTCCTTACCCAATATCTGCTTTGACCTGGGTTCATTTGTTCTCATCAACTACTGCTTATACTTTTCAGATGTTTCTGACGATACCCATTATCTTTCTATTTTCTCTTGTGTAGCTGCTACGAACATGGAAATGCAGCTGAAGTTCAAGTGCTGCCCCTGGACACATCAGGAAAGAGAGAACTTTTTCACCCCTTGTGCTGTTACCCATGCATCTATGATTAGAAACCGTGCTTAAAATTAGCAACCATCAGACACTTAACTCCCACGCGGATTGTACAGTTGCTGAGAAGGAAGTTCACCAATTTCCGTCGGTTTCCGCTCCAATTCATACCCTTCGAAGTGACATCGAACTTGTTGCACCTGTAGCGCCGAACCTAACTTTCACTCTTACTCCCACTCTCCATCCAGCGTGCCAGTAGGTAATTTCAGTTCTATATTTACACAGATAGGTGACTGACAATTCCCAATCCCACGACAGCTTTCATTGAATGTGGTGCTCCGAAGCCAGGGTGGCGATGAAGACGAAGGCGAGTTTGAAATCCAGCCAATTGAAGGCTCCGAGTGGGACCCGCCTTTAATGACGCACTTCCAAGAAGTAGAGGCGGAAGCTGCCATGACACGTTGGCATGTGCCGAGCAACATCGCCCGCCTTGGATGCAGGACACCCAGGCTCAGTCAATTCATAACCTCACACGGTGTCCCTCTCACTTCCAGACTGCATCGCAATTTTCAAGGCCGCTTCATGTAGAGGCCCTTGGCCCCCCCCTCCTCGTTCTTCTCCTCCTACTTGAGGCTTCTGCCCTCGAGACGCCAGTGGCTGGCCCTCTTGGGTGTCTCAGAGACCGCGGTCTCCCTACTGGTGTTGGGTTTTTGGTAGTGGGTAGTGCAGTGAGTCTGGAGCTTCAGTCGTTACGGAGATGGCGGGTTCGGATCCGACGTATAGCAGAATACCAGCCAGCGATGGCGAAGTGGGGAACTTGAGGGATGTGGGTGAGGGTGCAGGACCTGCGGTGCGAATTCGCGTCAGGCAACGGTTGCCGGATTTTCTGCAGTCTGTGAATCTGAAGTATGTGAAGCTGGGCTATCACTATGTCGTGACGCATGCGTTGTTCTTGCTTGTGCTTCCGCTCTTGCTGGCTGTAGCTGTAGAGTTTGGCCGGCTGGGGCGGGATGACATTTTGCAACTGTGGGACCATCTCCAGTATAACCTTGTGAGTGTCTTGGCCTGTTCCGGGGCGTTGGTGTTTGTGGCCACCTTGTATTTTATGTCGAGGCCCCGCCCGGTGTATCTTGTAGACTTTTCGTGTTACAAGCCCGAGGATGAGAGGAAGGTGACCATGCAGACTTTTATCCAGCGATCTATCGAAGCTGGGAAGTTCGATGAGAAAAGCTTGGAGTTTCAGAAGAAGATTATCGAGAGGTCGGGGTTGGGTCAGGAGACCTACCTTCCGCGCGCTGTGGTCAGTGCGCCTCCCAATCCTTGCATGAAGGAGGCGCGTCTGGAGGCAGAGCAAGTGATGTTTGGCGCTCTTGACGAGCTTTTCGAGAAGACAGGCGTGAAGCCGAAGGACATTGGAGTGTTGGTCGTCAACTGCAGTTTGTTCAACCCCACTCCTTCTCTTTCTGCCATGATTGTCAACCACTACAAGATGCGTGGTAATATCCAGAGTTTGAATCTTGGAGGTATGGGGTGCTCTGCTGGTGTCATCGCCATCGATCTGGCGAAAGACTTGCTCCAAGTGCACGGAGGATCCTACGCCATCGTTGTCTCTATGGAGAACATTACCTTGAACTGGTACTTTGGCAATGACAGATCGAAGCTCGTGTCCAACTGCATCTTTAGAATGGGAGGAGCTGCAATCATGCTTTCTAACAAGCGGTCGGAAAGGAGGAGGGCGAAGTACGAGCTCGTACACACTGTCAGAACCCACAAGGGCGCGGATGAGAAATGCTTCCGATGTGTATTTCAAGAAGAGGATTCAGAAGGCACAATGGGCGTGTCGCTCTCCCGGGAGCTCATGGGAGTAGCCGGAGATGCCTTGAAAGCCAATATTACCACGCTGGGTCCCCTTGTCCTCCCGCTCTCTGAGCAGCTTCTGTTCTTTGCTACCTTGGTTGCCAGGAAGTTCTTGAACATGAAGGTCAAGCCTTACATTCCTGACTTCAAGCTGGCTTTCGATCACTTCTGTATTCACGCGGGAGGGAGAGCCGTTCTCGACGAGATTGAGAAAAACTTGAGCCTCTCCCAGTGGCACATGGAGCCCTCTCGGATGACTCTCTACAGGTTTGGTAACACCTCTAGCAGCTCGCCTTGGTATGAACTTGCGTACACGGAAGCAAAAGGCAGGGTGCGTCGCGGTGACAAGGTATGGCAAATTGCGTTTGGTTCTGGATTCAAGTGCAACAGTGCTGTGTGGAGAGCACTCCGGACTGTTAAGCCCTCACAGTACAGTCCCTGGAGGGATTGCATAGACAAATTGCCTGTTGAAGTTCCTACTTACGCGAATATCTCGTAGGTCGTACTTTACCGGAGAAGTCTGTTTTGGAAGCTTACTATGCTTTATCTGCTTATCACAAGAGCAGAGACTGTTGCGTCTCTTTGCTTCAGTCCTGCCGTGCAGCAAAGTGTCGGAATGGTTTGTAGAGGAGATTGGTGATAATTGACTCAAAGTCTAAAAATTTACAGGCAGTTGATTCTCATTTTTAGATTTTTGGATTGGGAACATGGCGACTTTGCAAATCGCCTGGTTCAAGCAATACTCAGGCACCCATTGTACCTGGTAACAGTCCCTGTTGGATTTTGTAATTGTACATCGGTACATCAAAGACATTCAGATGGGCCAGCCTTTTTTTCTTTTAGTGAAAAACTGCAAGACCCTTACAAACTTGCTATTATGACATTTGATCAATGACAATAAAGTAGAAGGTCACGTGTCCATACTGTTTCTTGCATTCGATTCCGACTTGTATGCTACATGCTGTACATCTGTCCGTATATGGGGGACTACGCTTGTGATTGTCTGTGTACGGTGCTCTGGCTAGTGGTGGAGTGTTATATGAAGGTCCCTTATTAACGGCTGGACATGTCTTCAATATCTTTGTTACGTATTAACTGTTTTAACCGTCGTTGTCGTCGTCTTCCAACAGTTGTCTGCGTGAGGAAGCGATATCGTTTTCACTGGCAGCCTGGCTGTGTGCTAGACACCATCCTAGCTGGTAATCTGGGTTTCTATAGTCGAATTTCCGACTCAAGGTCTAGTGCAAGTGCCGCTGCTTTAATGTCCCAACCACCGCCAAGTTCCTTCATGTCTGTAAGCACTTATGTTTACTTACGACAGACTCGATTGCAGTTGCAGCTTGAGCTAAGCCATGTGGCAGAGAGAACCTGAAAACGCGGATTCTGACAAGACGCTTCATCAAGAGCATGATAATTTCCAGCGACTCCAGATCCTGAAATCTATCGCACTCAATTGTACCTCACAACCGCCTTGAACATGGAAATGTCACCTGTGAGCTGCATGCAACCTTACGGAATGCTTCGTAAGCCATATGTTTTTATTGAGGCGTACGACAATCTGGCTGGTGCCAGACTCGTTGCTGCGATAGCCGACAAACGACACGGATGAGCGAAATGAAGGGGCTAAGACCAAGCATTATGACAATCGTTCCTTCGCAGCTTTACCGACCATATTGTGTATTAAACAAGATAACACCTGGTTGATTATACGCCCGGGCACCACCGCAGTCACATTCTCCATACCTGGGTTTCCTGCTCAGTTCTGTGTTCTTGCTGCTGCGCCACTGCCCCGTCGTCGTGTATTGTCGTCATTGCTGACAGGGTTCATCAATACACACACTATATACAGCTAACACACGCTTGCTGCTAGCAACTCACAATTCATCCACCGCAGAATATTTGGTGGGATTTGTGTCAGCATAATTCAGGGGACTAGCACGTTGTCCACACTTGATTCAAGAGACCAATCTGGCAAGTAAGACAGTTTCGTTAGGTATTGCAGGTTTTCAGCACAGGGGCATGGAGGAGAGATCTGTCTTGCCTTACGGGGGAACTGGGATGAATCGACGAGCCATACTCGAGATGGAATGTGCATAGAGATGTATTCAGAATGGCGCGTTACCGATCTAGCAAGACATGTCGAGACGCGAGTGCCACCTCAGAATCTCAGTCTGGCGACCTGCAAAGTGCGAGTTTTGCGAATCTGATCGTTTCTAAATCGTTGTGTGTTGTTTGTGCAGGTCGGTGCAAATACCGTTTCTTCCATCCGAGGTTTGTGTGAGGCGATCTAACCCAGTTGTTGGATGTCCTCGCAATCCGAGCCAGTTCCATGATAGAGCACACACCGAATTCAACACATGACGCGGCGGGGGAGGTCACCGCCGTGTATTGCCGACTGTGAAAAAACACAAAGGTCGGTGAAGTGTCCGCAACAAGGAGCAACCGCCAAAGTGATCTGCCCCGATGCCCAAAGGTTAGTTTTCACAAAATCATGAGAATTCAATGCCACGATTATTGTGTCTGGGTTTTTTGCTAGTTACATTTCCAAAATGTTTGCAATTGGTATTTGACACTAATTTTATACATGCCTTTCCAAAATTCATTCAACCAATCGTTATTTGATTGTTTACATTCCACATGTTTTAAATCATTTATTAACTGATAAAGAAACTACAAAGTACTTTTTTCTTCCACTTTTGTTGCTTGTGTAATAGTAATGTTTCGTAATGAATATGTAGATTTTTTTGATATTATTAAAGCTTTATTATATATTACAAACAAAAAAAAATCTAAACTTTTATTTAGCATTTCATTGATACTTTCAATGTAACAAAGTTGTTTAATTGAATAAGGTCCAAGCATGTATTGGAATTGTTTCATTTAGTGTTGTATTTTTAAGTGCCAATTGATATAAAATAGCCAATCTTAAGTTGTTTCTTTGAAAGTTTTGTTCTCTTTAAGCCATTGCCTATGTAGATTTAAAATTTTAAATCTAGAGTTCACTTGGATCTACGTTTGATAAACTATTATTTACTTAGAATCATCCCTCTTGGACTACTTGCATTAAAGTGCTTAATAGAAAATTTCTCATTTTTCTTTTATAAAATTGTTTCCACAAAGACAACAATAGAATATGAAAAACTTAGAATAAATTGAAGTGATAATAAAGAAGTATATACAAGCCAAACCAAGGTTGAACAGTAAAAGAAAAATAGGAGTGATAAATAATCAATCATAGCCTTAGTTTAGTTTGGTTTTAAATTAGATGCATTCATAAGAATTTATTTTTAATTCAACAAAACACTAGCAATAGTAATAAACATCCATTAGCTTCTTAGAAGTCCCACACCAACCACACAATATTATTATATTTTACTTTTTAGCTAGCAAAGATGAAAAAACAATTCTGGTTTAAATTAGAAAAGATGGAGAAAATTTTGTAATTGATGTCTAATTTTTTATCATTTTTATTTTTATTTTTATATATAAAATCTCAAAAAATTTAAGAAGTAAGTTTTTGTGTTCTTAAATTTGAATATGCAACACTTGATAATTTGTTCTTTTCAAAACATGTATACTACTTTTATAATTTTGAGTGTTGATTTATAATTCTTCTTAGAATTGTCATGCGTATTTTTATTTTTATTTTTTTAAGCAAAGTTGAAGGCATTGTTTTTTAAAATTATTTTATAATAGAATATTAATATTTATGAAGAAAATATTGGAATTTATTTTTAAATTTATATACATATTTTTATTTATAGCATATTGTATACTAAAGATTATAATATTCTGAATTGTTCAATCCAGTATCGATAAATACCAGATATTTTAACAAATAACTAATAACTATCTAAGTTTTGGATCAACTTAGAACAAAAAAATATTACATCAAAAAATATTAATATCATGTATAAAATTGGCATCAATTTTTTAAATATATATATGAATTTTAAAACAATAATATGATACTAATTTTAAATAATTATTATCTACATATATACATACATACATCAAGTACCTTTCATAATTTATTATATTTGATAATCTACATATTTCAATGAATAACTTATAAAATAAATTGATTATTATAGTATATATATATATATATATATATATATATATAAACTACTTGTTTTTTTGTGAGAAAGTTATTTGAAGTAAAAATATATTAGTTGTCATATTATTTTATAGTTTATATTGTTGTTCATTATATGTATATAGAGAATCAAATCTAATTTAAAATTATTAAAAAAATTGCAAAGTAATTGTCAAATTATCTAAGGATAGAAGATAAATTTAAGAATAATACTTACATTAGTTATACAAAGAATAAATAGTAATATAAAAAACTCAACATTAAAAATCTTACTAAATTTATTTATTCAAAAATGATTTCTATATGTAAGTTGGATCATCTAAGCAAAGTTTATTCAATAGAAGAGAAATATTTTATAAAGTTTTGTATTTCAAAAAAAAAAAAAAATTATGTCTTATAAAGTAAAAATATTATTATATTTTATTGTATAATGTTTTCTTGAGTTTATTTTGTTGAATAATATATCATACTATATCATATTGATTTTTTTATTAACTATTTGTATATAGGATAATACATTTAATAATAAAATATTTTACAATTTGCATATTAACAAATAGTAAAATTCTTTCATTTACATTTGTATGCGTAAAATTTACATTTGTATTGTATTTAAATATAATCCATGCTATCATGTCATGAAATTTTTTTGACATTTGAAATTTAAAATTAACATATCTTATATATATATTGTAAAATTGTAACTTTTGGGAACTTTTGGGTTTTGGATTGTATTTGTTTATTTCATAGTGATATGATAACACAACAATAATTTCAATTTATAATTCTATAATAATTATATCTTTTTTTATATTATGGATAGTTTATTGAATGTTCATTATATTGAAGTATTTTTTTAAAAAAATACTGAAAATTCTATATTTGAAATACATGTTTTTGGTTTTTCTTTTCCAACCCTCATCTCGATTGCCACGAGTTAAAAAAAGATGGCCCCACAAGCACGTGTCCAAGCATGGTCATGCCAGCTGTAGTAGGGGATCTACCCATCATGTATAAGTTTGAGTATAATTTTCATTGTACGAAAAAAAGTAAAAATGTGTTCATTGTGTGTGTATGATGTGATTCAAGTACACATTATTGTTTCCTTTCAATTGTACGTATGTCGTTGAGCAAAAAAATTCTGCATGAAGGAAACTAGAATCCAAGCAATCAGATGATTCCTGCTTTCTTGCTTGCAATCTTTTTGCATTTTTTAATTTCTTCTTTTATGCTTCTATCAAACAAACAATCCAGCAACAAAAATCGGTAAGCAATCTTTTCGACTGAATCGTGAACTAAATTGAAACCGCAACAGTCAGCACAGATTTCATTGCTGAAGAGTTATTCAAGAAAATCAAAATCAAAAACTTCTGTGATAAAATCATGTTTGATTTTGTTTCTTAAGAAGTTACTAATCTCGTGTTGGTGTCAAGTAGAAATTGAAATGAAAGTAAGTCACTGACGTTTGCAACCCGAAAAGATGCCAATGTGAGGCGTTTCATTCATTCGGGAAGCACATCACATCGATATGCTAGCGAGACTGAATGTCTGCATAGTCTAGTAAGAAAATTAAATCAAACTAATTGTGCATGGAAAACCAAAGACTGGTAGGGGCAACCTGGCAAAGAACATCAGAGATGCCACCCACAAAGAATGGTTTCTCTCCCAACCACAATTGCTAGAAGAGGCAGAGTGAGAAACTTCCTGCTATGAAAATGAAGGAATTCACAACCAAAATACTGGTGGATTCTTTCATCAGTCTCAAGTCTGGACACTAAATCTCTACATTTCATTAAAATGGCTACCTGCATAAGTTGAGATAGGTAGATTTTAAGGACTGCTCCAATAAACTGGCCACATGTATATGTACATAACCAGCTACCAAGGCCACCTAAAACATAACTTGAATCACTTCCATAGCTTCTTAAGGGACATGTTCTTATCAGTATCCTTCTTCATCACCTTCGCCACAGACATTTCAAAATCCTCTTGTGTTACATGTACACGCCGTTCACGTAGAGCAAACATGCCTGCTTCTGTGCACACAGCCTGAATGACAGCACAAAGATTATTAAACATTAAGAGAAAAACAAACAAATAGAAAAGAAAAGAAAAAGCACAAAAAACTGTGTCTAATTGCAGAAATGTGACAAAACAACGACTCTTTAGTAGGAACAGGGCCAGTAATTGCCTTAAGCTCAGCTCCAGATGCGCCTCCCATCTTTTCAGCAATCTTCTTCAAATCAATACCTCGCATTAAGTTCATCTTCCTTGAATGAATTTTAAGGATGTCCAATCGAGACTGCGTAACAAGGCAATCATATAGATTAGCTCACACAAGACAAGGGGCGAAGAAAAATAAGAAAGGAGCGAGAGAGCAAGGTGGGAGAGAGGAAATGGCAAATTATAAATCACGCCTTTGTATACCTCTTCAGTTGGATTGGGGAACTCGATCTTCCGGTCAATTCGTCCAGGACGCAAAAGGGCTTGATCCAAGATATCAATTCGATTGGTTGCCATCAAAACCTACAATGTTACAACAATGTGAGTTAACGAACAATTCGAGCTAAGCTGGCAAATAGCAAGATTGATGAGACCCTTTTTCAAGTATGAAGGATCATAGAATTACCACAAACAACTCAAACAAATAAGTAAATGACCTCAATTGTGTCAGTTGTGAAGAGCAAACCTTAATCTTGTTCGACGCTTCAAACCCATCAAGCTGATTCAACAACTCCAACATTGTCCGCTGAACTTCACTATCTCCATTGCCATTCCCAGACTCCACACGAGCTGATCCAATACTATCAATTTCATCCATGAAGATGATTGATGGTGCATGTTCCCTAACCATACAAAAATAACTTGTTAACATCTTATACGTTCTTGACATGAAGTTTCCAGGTAGAGACAAGTTCCGTTGATGGCAATCAAAAACACATCTTATGTGAAGACAAAATAAGCTTCTGTACCATATCACATCACTCCAATGTAGAAAAATACAAACTTCAACTTAGAAACTGAGCCTATGACGACATTAAAAAATGCGCTCCAACAAAACTAGAAGCTTTCTAAAAGGTTGAACTTGCAAATGAATGCGAATCCTTATTGAAAAGCATTGTCATAACAGCACCTCTGTAGAGTGATCAGCGAAAAGACTGATTGAAGGATTTTGTGAAAGAACGCTCACCTAGCCATTACAAACAGCTCCCGTACCATACGTGAACCTTCACCAATGTACTTCTGCACAAGCTCAGATCCTGAAACTCGGATGAACGTACAGTCTGTGTGATGAGCTACAGCCCGGGCAAGAAGCGTCTTTCCAGTTCCAGGAGGGCCGTACAACAAAACCCCCTGCAGACAAAGTTTTGTGGCAGATCATTTTAAAATTTATCCAATCAATTCTGTTGTTGACATGGAATCCGATGACTACAAAATCGACGAAACAACTCATGAAACATTCGCAAATAAGAGAAATTATAGGTTTTTTTTTCTTTTTTTTCTTTTTTTTCCCGAAATGACCCTAAATCGACGTCAGAAAATGTAAACAGCAAAATACATAATTTGATAATTAACATTGTACCTTTGGTTGAGCAATGCCCAGACTCTCGAAAAGCTCTGGGTGTTTGATGGGAAGCTCTATGACCTGCCCAAAAACCCAACGCGGCAGAGAAGAGTTTTATGGCAAGGCCATACATCAGAATAATTGATCAAAAGGAATAAACACACAGAACAGGTCTGACAACAGGAAGGAGAGAGATTTAAGTAACGAAAAATAAATAAACAAAATAAAATAAAATAAAATAAATCCTAAGTCCACACCTCTTTGATCTCCTTAATTTGCTGATCAAGGCCTCCAATCATATCGTACGTGGAGTCAGGAACCTTTTCAACTTTCATAAGATTCACCAACGGATCCACCTTGCTAGGAAGAATTAAATGTAAAACATAACTGTCATTCCGAAGAGCGACTCTAGTGGTAGGAGTAATTTTATTGATATCGATGCTCTTGTCAAGATCTACCACGTACTTGCCCTCTGGATGCACCTGCACCCACCATGACACACATGCATGCAGGATTCAATGGCTACGCCCAATCCTACTATCCTGAAGTGGCAACAACAAACATGACGCACCGCCTTCAACTCTCTCCAACTCCAATACAGAGTTCAGATGATCAATTTAGAGCCATTCTTCCCACAGCTAATTTCTCCCAATGGTCAAGCATATTGAATCCAATATTACAAGATCAGAAACTCCTCAAAGATCACATTCAGGGCAGGTGATCCAAGCAACAAATAGAGAGCCAAAGCCATGGTTTTCAACGAATACGAAAGCTACCTTCACGAGAACTTTGGTTTTTCCCATAACCTTGACAACCTCTCCAACATACGACCCGGGCTCTTGCAACAGTTGCAGCTCTTCCCTCAACATCCGCACTGAAACACAACGCGGACACCCAACATATGTCGCAACTCATTGCACATCAAAATGATAAACTAACACACCATAGCCGAAACGAAAATCCCCAACACTGAGAGCCGCAAACTACCACCATATTCCCGGATCAACTTTTCGATCTCCCTGCACAACACACTAACCAATACCAATCCACACAACCAAAACTCCATTAAATTGGAGGAGGCCAGCACCTTTAGAATTGAGATCGTTGCGTTGAGCCTCAAGTCGGTGCAGATTGTGCGTCTTCACTCGCAATTGAAGGAGCAGGTCGTGTATGTGCGAGAGATAGTAATGTCGCAACCCCTCTCCCGACCTGGCCGACTTGTTAGGTACCTCTTCGGCCCGCCCCATGGTTCGGATTGAAAATTCACGAAAACCCCAGCAGTAGAAACGTAGAGGGCAGGCAGGATAACCAGTCTTGAGAAGGGGTTGATCGATCACTGCGAAACAGTGCTGGGTTGAGACGAAACAATCTCGAAACGGAGATTCTAGGGTTCCGAGCATTCGCGGGGGAGCCAGGGCGAGAGGTGTTCGCCTTCACTAGAGAGTCCCAGGCGTGGTCTTCGATCCCCGCGTGAGCTTCCATGAAGTTTGAATCCGGTCACATGGTATCACCGCGTGAGCCCATTTCCGTTGGTCAAAGTCATATGTGTTAGAATTCGGCTTCTCTTGAGAGCAATTTATAATCCTTTCTAATTTGATTTTTTAAAAGCATAATTTTCTCAAGATTTTTAAATATACTTGGATGTATCAAAAAATTTAAATGCTAATTTTTTTTAATTAATTGATTATATATATATATATATATAGATATATATATTATTTACTACTATCTATATTACTAGCTGCCATTTTTATTTTACATGTAGAATTTTATTTGATTGTCATGTGTGTATGATTGTGTCTGTCTATAGAAATAGAAAATGAGTATTGTGTTAGAAAAAACCACATTGCAATGGATGCATGAATTATTCAAGCACATATTATGCATGTAGAGCATGTATAAAAAAAATTATATTAAATTTTATACATTATAACAATGTTAATTTTTTATGACTGATTGTTATTAATTAAGCACTTGTAACATATAATTGGATTGCATCTTGTGAAACCTAATTTGGTACTTTTTATTTTATTTCTAACCAAATCTATTTAAATAAAAACATGTCAACATGTGATCTAAATGATTTACATTAAAAATATGACTACAGAATATTTCTTTTGAAAAAAATAAAATAGATTAGTCATATATTTTTGAGTATTATGTTGTGTCAATATGTTAAGAAGAATATTAAATTAATCCATCTAAATCTTAAATTAACTCATCATTAATAAGTATAAATCTTTTTTAATCATTTTTATTATTTGGTAGTCTCAAAAGGTTTTCCTCTTGACATACCTTTTGTGCTAATCTTCTTCACATTTTACCTTTGACATCCCTCCAACTTCTCTCTAATATTAAATACTCTTCTTGATATATGTTTCTACCTTTGTTGTTAATTTCTCACATTCAAAATCTTTACTCTTTCATTGAGTTGCTCCATCACAACCCTTCCCAATAGTTCTTTTATTTATCCCTTTCACCCCTTCATAGAATCATCACATCACCAAGTGCAAAGTCCTAGACAATGTAAGAGTAGAATAGAGATAAGAAGGCAATTTAAGTTTTAAATGGATTGATTTGATATTCTCATATTTTTATTAGCAATAAAAAATAATATATATATAATAAAGAAAAAAGTGATATGAAATATATTTTAAAATATAACTTTGAAATTTTTTCTAGTAATTCAAGTTTATGTAGTATAATTTATTTAATAAAATAAAATTATAGAATTATAAATTAAAATATAACTAATATATTTTTAATCTTTAATTTAGTGTTTTTTATATAAAAAAATAATATTTATATCACATGTATATGTTATTCCATATGAATATTGATTGACTAAATATTATGAAACATTTATTAAAAACACCATATTTATTTGTGAATAAGAATACATAGATATAGATATATCTAAGTATATATATATATATATATATATATATATGCACTAATTCATATCATACAAATTTTACAAATTCTACTTATATAAAAATATCTTCAATTTTATTTCTTAAAGTATTTTTTTGGTAATTTCTTTAAAATAAATTTAATTCTTGAAAGTCATGCTCTTCCAACATAGAAAATTTTACTTAATATAGGATATTATTCTTCAAATAATAAAAAATACTAATCCTTGCACAAAATGTATTTGGTGGTTGTACAAGTATTCATTGAATTTTGTTTTGCTATTGAACAAGAATTGTAATAAATAGGTCCTAAGCATGTCTCATCTATTGAAAATTTATATTTAGAGGTGTTTGGTCTTCAAGTCACTTTTTAAAATGAGATCATTTTAATTATAGAATCATTCATTATTTGTTTTTGCAAATCATTTGATGAAAAAAGTGAAGAAAATGATGATGGAGGATAGGTGTGAAAACAAAAGAAAACAACCAATTCTCGACACTAGTAAAATTATTTTGTCCAAACGACATTTTGAAGTCCATAATAGAACATGAGCTTGTGAAATTCCAAGAGTACAATGATGCTTAAGAATAAAAAAAGAAAAGAATATTCTAATGCTTTCTTAACATTCTTCTCATACAATGTAATGGATGCTTATTTTGAACAATAGTGTGTTGTTTAAGGTTAGAAAGCATTGTGTAATAAATTTGAAATCAATGGTTGAAGTAATTATTCAAGACATGTTATTTAGTGAGAAAGAAGTAAAAGGCTAAAATCCCCTAATTTCTTACAACGTCCGTGGATGAATGTTAATCCCAATTCTTGCTTGGATGAACCCCTAATAGTAAATATCATCCTCCGTCGGTCCTCCATGTTGCATTACACGGTTTTCGCGCTGCACGTTTTTTTGCTTCGTTCGTCGCCATAGCCATGCTTGTAAACCAGGTCTCGCTCTCACCGAAGCCCCGCCCCGCCCCGGCGTCCCTGGTCGATGCCGCTGCTTGGATTGAAGCAGCGTCCTTCCTTAATTCGGGCCAAGCTTGTGTGAGGATCGACTCAAGCAAAGCTCAGTTCAGATCGGTTTCCTAATCCGGGGACAATGTACATGGAGGCTAAGGACGGACGGGTGCTTCGGGTAGTCAGCACTCCCTCGCAGGATTTGGCGCTCACCAATTGCTCCTTCTGCTCGCGGGCACAGTTCGAGGATTTCCAACTGCCCCGCGCGGACTATGGCATGGTCTCCGTTAACGGCCAGCTTGTGTACAAGATTTTATATCCTTTCGCCGTTCACTTTATGGTTGTTTCGGATGTACAGCGATCTGGTGTTGGTGTTGGCGTGTTAAGGTTCTGTTCTTTTCTTTTCCGAGTTTAACCGCGTTTCTGTCTTGGCTCGGGCTGTTAGCTGCGTTGACGGATGTGTACCGGAATTTCTTTTCTGATTGTACTGCATTTGTATCGTTTTGCGACATGTCATTACTGTTTGGATATGCACTGGTGTTATTTGTTTATTTATTTTCCCTTGGTTTTCCCTCGCATTTATTTAGGGATAATTGGAGTTCTTGTTGTCAGCTCAAAAGTTGTTGAAGAACCGAAAAGATCTCCAGAAACGCTGTACTGTTAGTTAGACCACCGACTACATGCAGCATCTGCGTCAAGTTGATGCGCTGAATGCATTGTAAGGTGAAATTAAAATAGCATTGTTTTTACCTATCAGCATTCATACCTCCAACTTGTCGACGGACTTGCTGGTGGTTCATTGGGATTTGGGAGGTTTATGAATGAACGATCCGTAAGGCCAGCAGAATGCATTGTCTTGTGGCTTTAACTTTGTAGGCAGCTTGAGACCCTACTGTTCAATTTTTGAATGTATGACAATAATGTGCACATGGTACTCTTGAGCCTTGACCGAAGATTACACCGCATGATGCAGTCGAAAAAGGTTGTCTGGCTCTTAATGCTATTCAGCGGCGATGTTTAAAGGTTTCAAACAATGATGCCGTGGCTGTTGAAAGGTAGTCGTGCATCCTTCATCTCCATTTTTTGCTACGTAGTTTCTTCCTGTGGGTTTCCATCGGAATAAAATCCTTAACTTATCACTTCTGCAAGTGATAATCATGTGTTACGGTGCGCTTCTGGATACTTTCATTGTAGCGCTTGAGTGTTATGATTCTAGATTTCAGTCTTGGCATATTCAGAGTAGTGCCTTTTCAGGTGCGATATTGAGATACAGTTAAGATTCGACTTGAATGTTGGGTTTTGATAGTAAGATGATCCAAATTACCGCCTGTTACATGTGATTCCTAGATGTGTATGCTGGTCGGGACGTCCATCAACAAAATAAGTAGTTGGGAACGTTTCCTGCTCGGACTACGTAAGGGGTTGAACTCGTTGTCTTGTTTCTCCATTTTATTTTGCATGTGCTCTTTAGTTGGAAATTTATATGCTGATCTTTACATGCGCAGATACGCGCTCCCAGCATCTGGGTTTAATTTGGTGATGATTCATGTTGAGCTAGATTTCATCTCGAAGGGAAAAAAACAGGAGACGGTGTGTTGGAATCTCACTGTCAGCAAGCTTTATTGCTGTCTTTCTCCTTAATTTTCTATATGTGTCTAGCTCAAAACGCGGAGGAACTGTTGCCTTTCAAGAAACAGGTGGATGCAATTTATTTGTTAGTCGTGGCTATTAATTCTTTTGTAGGGCGTGCAGATTGATGCAGCAATCATTTCCAAAGAGCTTACAAAGCGATTCTCAGGCCAGGTATCTTCATGTTGCATCCTTGTGATTTTGAGCACAAGGTCAGAGATGTTCGGAGCATTATGGAAATGAAGACTATCTATAACCACTATCACTGTTTTCGAACAGTGCGTTAACCTTAACTTTCAGATTTGCTAATGATTACACGTATGCCCTTGATGTGCGAAGGTTTCATTATGTCCAGACGATTTGACCCTGGCTGAAATAGCATGCCTCTTTTCTATGCTTGTCACCTTCACAACCAAGTTGTGCAGAATGTGACAATGAAATGAAATCGAAATTCACTAATTTTTTGGTAATTATGATAGGTCTTGACAACCGACCAAAAGGTTTCATTTGAATACGTGGGCACCAACTTCCTCTTTACCGTAGGAACGGTGCTAGTGGATGGTCAGCTAGAAGGGGAAGGAAGCCTAGGTCTTTTGATTGATGATACCGTCTGGCAATTTGAAACTCCTGCGAATTCTGGCATCAAGGTGCATAGTTGTTATCACTTTCATTTCCTTTACAAGCTTTGCTTTGTTAATGTTCTAGTAGATTTGTTGGAATGAAGCACTTTTTCACCTTCAAAGACCTCAATTGTTGATTGAATCGCATGAGGACTCATAGTTCCATGAACCTATTGGATGCATTTGGTGAACTTTGAAATACCAACATATTTTCTTGGAGACCATTGACAGACCAGAGTAATTTCATTGAAGATTACTTGAAGAATTGACGTGAACTAAATTGCTAGAATCATTCTACACAAGTGGTGCAGACTGAAGCATCTTGTGAGGATCTGGATATAGTGGGAATCTGGGTTCTATTTTGTGATCACTTCTTATTCAGTAGACACTCTGCTGCTCGTGGCTAATTGTCACGTCTGTACTCACGAAGCTGTACTTTTAGCCCTTTTCGACTCACTTCAGTTCTGTGTATTTTATGCAGATAGTGAATCAGAAGGGGGGCCAATCAACTAATTTGTTCAAGACCAAAGAGTTCAATTTCCAAAAACTGGGTATTGGTGGGTTGGATGCTGAGTTTGGCGACATTTTCCGGCGAGCGTTTGCATCGAGAGTTTTCCCCCCTCACGTGATTTCTAAGTGAGGATATGGCATTATTTGTGGCTATTGTCTTTGAAACATAGTCTCCCTATTTGTTACTCTGCTCTTTTAATAATTTTTTAGTGCAAAAGAACGGGGTGACTTGATTTTCATTTCTAAATCGTAACCCACCTTACTAATATTTCAGGCTAGGAATACCACACGTCAAAGGTATTTTGCTTTTCGGCCCACCTGGTACAGGAAAGACTCTAATTGCGCGGCAGATTGGGAAGTTGCTGAATGGGCGTGAACCTAAGGTTCAATGCCCTTCTCCAATACCTCCCTCCATCATATATATATATATTTCGCTTTTATTTCCTTTTTTCTTTCGCTTTTCATTTAATTAAATTAAATTAAATTAAATTAATTAATTAAGTTTTGTATTGTTTATTGAATCTTTTATTTATTTATGGTTCTTCAATGTTATTCCTCAAAGATTTTTTGACAACTATTTCGCTCAGCTTTTAAGTCGTTTCAGTTGATTTTATGCAGTATCTATCTTTTTGTTCTCATTTTTTCTTACGTGTTAGGACGGGGACGGGAGCGCAGCAATGCTTATCATGTCTAATTTCATAACATTTTTTTTATCTGCACAGGTTGTCAATGGTCCAGAGGTCCTCAGTAAGTTTGTTGGAGAAACAGAGAAGAATGTACGCGACCTGTTTGCGGATGCCGAAGCTGAGCAAAAATCACGAGGTAATTCTCTTGACGTCCGTTACCTCGTGATACTACTGTGCACTAGAGGAGATTCAGTTTACAGTTTTAAGCTTTTTAAGTAGGTTCAGTTTGCCTGATTACTACTTACCAATGATTCTTCTTATGGTTTGTTTCAGGCGATGAAAGTGATCTACATATTATTATCTTTGATGAACTTGATGCCATATGCAAGGTATGAAGATTCTGTATGAACTACCATTCTTGTTATAAATTTAATGGACGAGTAAATTGAATGTCTGCAGTTAGCTGAACTCCTTAAGGTAATCGTCGAGTACATTTGTAAAATTAGCAATCAACCACCTTTTCTTTGTGAGTCTTCAAATTATTCACTGCATACGTGGCATTCAAACTACGGAATCACTAATTGATAATGCTTTTCTACTTCACTAGCATGTAAATCCAATAGTGTTATTAGAAACAGTGTTGGTATATATTTGTCAGGCAAGGGATTGAGGTTGATTTGGGGGGAAAATCTCAATGACGATTAATCTCCCCCTAATTTATTTTCTCATGCGCTTTTTAGGCTCGAGGTTCCACCCGAGATGGAACGGGTGTGCATGACAGTATTGTTAACCAGCTGCTCACAAAGGTATGCTTTGTCACGAATGTCTAATGTTGTGTTATACCGCTGCCAACCAAAAAGCTCCAATTACAGGATACAGTTACGAGTTTTTTATGTCTGAAGTACATAATGCTCATACCAAGCTAAATTGAAGTGCTCTTTTTTACCGAATAATCTTGGAATTGAATGGAGCGTCCATACACTAGTGAAGAAAATATAATTTTATGTCTTGTCATATGGACAGATTGATGGTGTTGAGAGCCTCAACAATATATTGCTAATTGGTATGACGAATAGAAAGGATCTTCTTGATGAAGCTTTGCTACGGTAAAGCATTCTTTTATCACTTTACAGTTTTCTTGATTTCATTGTGAATGTATATTATGTTTTCGTAACTTGTTTTAATTTCCCATAGATGTCATGCACTGTATCCACAATTGGGTGATGACCAGGGATGCACTGCTTGCAATCGTCCAGATAAGTAGTCTGATCTCTGCAGGCCAGGACGTATGGAGGTCCAAATCGAAATCGGATTGCCAGACGAGAACGGCCGTATTCAGATTTTGGGCATTCACTCGAACAAGATGAAGGAGAACTCTTTTTTGAGTGCTGACGTAGATTTGGAAGCACTTGGTATGCCTCTTCTTTCCTCACATAGGCGGCACAAATATTTGACTTGCGAATCCTACGAGCTTGCTGTGTGAGATCATCTAACCGTGTTTCTTTTCGCAGCGGCTAAAACCCAGAATTTCAGCGGAGCAGAACTAGAGGGTCTGGTGAAGAGTGCAACCTCTTTTGCTTTGAACAGGCAAGAATGACAAAGCCAGTTATTTTATCAAGTTCTTTTTCTGTTTTGCTGGTCTGACTTATTCAGTACGCCTTCCAGATGGTTTAATAATATTTTGAGGCTTTTAGTCCCAGTATCATTAAGTGATGGCATTGATGATTCTATTAATGTAAAATACATTTTACAGTAAAGTATCATCGTCCCTTTGTTTTGGACTTACAGTTTCTTCGCTTCTTGTTAAATCATCAGGCAAGTGAATTTTGCCGATCTTTACAAACAACTTGACGAGGACAATATCAAAGTGACGATGGATGATTTCTTAAAGGCTCTTGATGAAGTGAAGCCTGCATTTGGTGCAGCCATCAATACTCTAGAGTTGTGCAGGTACTAGCACATACAGTTTATGAGTGGAAGTCACTTATTTTAGTTGAACCTGTCAAAAACTTGGGTCTTTAACCGTCTTACTTTATGCTTCCCTGACTTTCATCAACTGATTGATGATTTGGCAGACCGGGGGGCATGCTACCCTGTGGGGAAGCCTTTGATAAGAACTTAAAAACAGCAAAAACGCTTGTGGAGCAAGTTAAAAAGAGCGATCGTACACCTCTTATGACATGTCTTTTTGAAGGCCCTTCTAGCACGTATTTGATCATTAAACCTTCAGATTTCGATGATGATATGCTCCGGAAGTCATGAGAAAGTTTGTTGTCTATTTGTTGGACATACAACACATTTTCAGGTTGAAAATAGGAGGGGTTAAAGTATGACCTATGATTTTACAATGATTCGATTATGTTGTGTTGTACATGGTATATGAGTATTTTTTCAGTACTTTATACCACTTTCTCTGCAAAAATATTATCCGATTGTGTGCAGCGGGAAAACAGCGCTTGCGGCATCCATCGCTATCGAAAGTGGGTTTCCTTTCATAAAAATTGTAAGCTTCATGCCTTGATGATATTTACAATCATCGGTTTCGCGTTTTGAAGTACTGCAAGTAGCTCCTTCCCTTTGAATAAGTTGCCAATGTTGTGGTGAAAAAATATGTTAAAGATTTCACTTCTTTACACAAGTGCTGGCTGCGAATTTTCTCTAGCTGACAACAGACACTTGTTCCAGGTATCCGCAGAGAACCTGATTGGCTTGCAAGAGCCCACTAAAGTTTCTATGATTGCCAAGGTACGTAGCTTGTTATTCTTGGTAGTCCAAGACTGTAGTGTTTGGAGCAGCTACAAGGGTTTAGAGCTTCGCAAGTAACTTCATGAATTTAGGGATGAATTTCTGCTAATATTCCCGCTGATAACGGAAGTTTTTTGTTGTCTGTTGCTGAATCTGCATTACCCTTTGCATACACGTAATTGAGAATGATTGAAATGGCATTGCAGGTTTTTGAGGATGCCTATAAGTCTCCCTTGAGTATCATTATTCTAGATGACATTGAAAGGTAAGAGCATTGGATTGATGACGTAGAAGACATTCGTTCCGATGAATGGTGGATCTTGTTATTGTTGTTCTATAAATACTGCAAGTTTAAAGGAGTGGCATATTTCTGATCATCTCTTCAACAGAGGAAGGAATTCGTGCATTAGTACGTACAACGCTCCGGAAATCAATCTGTATAACGAATGGTATCTTACTCCTCTGCAGGTTAATAGAGTATGTCAGAATCGGGCCCCGCTTCTCTAACCTCATTCTGCAGACGCTTCTCGTTCTTGTGAAGAAGAACCCTCCTAAAGTAAGTGTCTAACACAGTGGGCGTCAAGTTTAGTGATAAACGATTAAGCTGGCAACTGAATGTTGTGCAGACGTTGTCTTCATGCACGATTGACTTGAGGATGCTTAAGCAATTAAATGTTAACTATTGATACTAACATGTCGGCTGCAGAGGACATCCTCTGCTTTTCATCCACCTTTATGAGCTCTTAGTCGATGTCAATCTCCATTTCTTATGGCACGTAATGTTAAATATCTATCTTGTGGAGAACATGGTGAAAACCGCTCTCTAATCAAGCCACGGTTTTGTTTCGCAGGGCAAAAAGCTTCTAGTGATTGGCACAACCAGTGAGAAGGATATTCTTGAATCAATGCGCTTGGTGGAATCTTTCAACATACATATGGAGGTCCCTTCGTTGAAACCAAGCGGCATGAAGGAGGTAAACTAGGGCCTTTTTTAAATGAACCACTGTGTTTATAGATATTCCTTCTGATAGTTTCAATCAGATAAACCGGGTGTCTGCTGTATTAAACGTGGGTTCTGCACGAGCAACGTATTCAACTTGTTTGCTCCTATTTTGCAGGTTTTGTTAGCTCTAAATTTCTTTGCTCCCACTGACATTGACGCTGCTTTGTCAGCTCTTGGTCAAGAGGTTTGTACTCCCTAATTCAGCTCCATGCTTTTCTTGTTAAAAGGTTATTGTGTAATTCAACGTGATAGTACCAGCATTTCAGGCCTTCTTGGAACTGTTTTGCAATGCTATGTAAGTTTTTGAGCTAGTTTGTTGTGTCTTCGTTCTAACCAAAGTTTTATCGTTTTTTGACGTTGTTGTGATGGTTCCCAGATGCCCATCAAGAGATTGTTGATGTTGATTGAAATGGCGGCACAAGGCAAGGAGGGTGAGGATGCAATCGCTATACTCAAGGGACATAAAAAAATTGACATCCACTACTTTTACGACTGCCTGAATGATATCGAATCTTCTAAAAGTTTCTAGAAGACCTGTAACGAGAAATTGACTCTTCCTGACCTTTTTTTGGCGGGAGAAATGTTAATGTTTTATTGAACACAGCAAATAGATTTTTTTTCTCTCTTTTTTTTTTTTTTTTTTTTTTTTTTTTTGTTGTTTACTCATGCCCTTCTCAATTTCTGTGTCTTTCGCTGTGATACATTAGGAAACACATTGCTGCTACTTACAGGCTCTCTTATTATTTATTGCTAAGAAGGTGCAATTAGTGAAGATGACATTTTGGTGATTCGTTTTTAATCTTGCAAATATTGGTGTGGACATTGGTGAGGATTGTGTGATGAAACTAATCCACGTTCAGAGCCACGGAGAAAAAACACGGTAGCAGCTCAACGATGAAGGAGAATCGCCAGTTTGGGCAGCAAAGGAAGACCCCTCACATAGTTCAATTGATTGTACCCGTTTCTCTCGAGAGCCCTAAGAACTCATCTGGATAATTTATGCGCAGTGAGAAAAGTAGATTTTAAGCGAGGGTCGAATTTCTGCTAACCGAGATGATTAGATATTTATTCACACATAAGCTAGGTTTTTTAATTATCCTTGAAATTTATCCTTGGCATAATTTATTGATTAAACTCTAAATAATACTAACTTGGAGCTCTTTGGCCATCAATAAAAACAATATTAAGAAACCCAATTAGGTAGGTTATATGATGGTTTTAATTATTAATAAATGCTAAGTTTCTAAAAGAAAATTCTACATCTTTTAAAAAAAAAAAACTCTATGTGGTACAAAGATTCAACTCACCAATGCATATATTAGCATGAGATAAAATATCACGATTCTTGATGTATTGTTGATTTGTTTGCATTGTAAATAATATTTTTATAGATCTTTTTAATCAATGAGCATACCAAGCTATGCATAGAAACTCCATAAAAGAAAACAAATTGTATTTTTGATTTTTTCAATTTGGATGGATTCTCTTCTTTTACCCTTATAAAGTAGATATTGTACAAAGTCTTTGTGTTTATCTATTTCTATATCCTAAACTTAGAATGTTCTTATGCTGATTATAAAGTGCATTTAATTTAATAATAGACCATAAGTAAGAGAGCTTTAAGCTCACAATGATGGTTTAAGCTTTTATTTAATGATGATTGATAATATTTGATGGCAATTCTTGACTAATACAAAAATTTGTCTATTAAATTCTTATTAATATTGGTAATATTGTGTGGCAAATTGTCCATAGCCTTAAAAGTTGCCTTATCATTTATTAATGCTCTATTTTAATTTAAGTAATCTTTTAAATATAGATTCTTTTGTAAAGCACTAATTTTTTGTATTATTAGAATAAAAGTAAAAACTGAAAAGTAAAAAAAATTATTTTCATATTTGAAAGTAGTGAAGTTACAATCCTAAAAAAACAAACATTATAGAAATTTGAGTCTTTTTTCTAAAAAAATACTAAGAAAAGTATATAGAGGAATAATTTTATATAAATTTAGGTTTATCAATATATATATATATATATATATATATATATATATATATTGTAATATATTTTAGCAATAATAGTTGTATTTTATTCTTTGTATATTTTTATTGATTAAATAAATGATATAAAAAATTATCTATATTTTTATAAGATTATAAGAAATATGATTTATAAATATATATTTTTTTATAAATATAAATAATTAGAAAATATGTCATTTAAGCAAAGTAGATTTAAAAAATATTTTAGATTTATTTTTCATTGTATTAAAAGTATATTTGAATATCTAATAATACTTTAGAAATCACAAATTAATGTTTAAATGCAACGATACATCTTTATAAGCATCATTGACAAACTAAGTCTTTCCTCATAAAAAACACCTTTGTTTATAATATAAAATAGTATAAGTAAAGTCAACTAGTATTATTTTTGTTAGATTAATTCACTTTATTTTATATTTTCTTTGGTCATAACAAAATATATGGTCATAGAAAATTGCATTGTTTTTGCTTTTTATTTTATTGTACAAGAAGTAACAATTACATGCACCAGTACTACCAAGATGCCATGAGTAAAATTCAAGTATATAACATGCTAAATTATTTTAATACCAGTACATAAGATATTGTATAGTTAACATATATATATTTAAAACTTTTCTTGTTAATTTCTACATGTTTATATTAATAATATAAGAATAAAGCATACAATCCATGATAAATAAATAGTGAAGTTAAAATAAAATAAAATAGAATTTAATACAGAATTTTATTTTTATTCTTCTTAAATTTTTAAAATTGCAAGTAATGATTAGTACTTTTTCAAAAGGAAGTAAGCAAGTTTTATAATTTAGAGCATATTTTAATTTTAATCAATAAATTAAATTAAATAACATTATCAAAAATTAAAATATGGATTTTATGCCATAACTTAAACTAAATATGTTAATTTTTTTTAAAAATATATTTATCACCATTATTAAAATAATACAAAAAATAAATTATAAGATTTATTTATAATTTTAAATAAAAATCTTATAATCCATAAAATAAAAAAAATTAAATTTGTTGTGAATAAATAAAATATAAATCTAGTATAAAAATTTAATTATAAAAATTAATATAGATCAATTTTCATACTTAAATAGTATGCATGATCAAATTATTAGAAGAGAGAATACTTGATTAGTTGTTAAAAATATATATAGTATAAAGAGATATTTTAGAATTAAGTATATTTAATAAAATAATATATTAATAAAATATTAATATATATATATAAATATATATATATATATATATATAGAGAGAGAGAGAGAGAGAGAGAGAGAGAGAGATTTTATTCTTTCTTTAAATATCAAAGACAATAATTCTCAAAGAACTAAAATATCAATACTCTCTTGTGTCACTCGAAAAGATTATAAAAACACTCAAAAATAATATAGTATTAAACTAGAATAGCTATTGCCAAAGACAAAAAGATTAGAAAGTCTTAAAACAAGACTAGGGACTAGAAAGACGATAAAAGTGAAAAATGCTTAAGTCTTACCTCCACATATAGCAACTATGTGGCAATGTACTATAATACCTCCAAAACATATTAACTTTGCAAGACATGTATCTCAACTTGCAAGGTAAGTTTTTTAAATGTATGCTACATAATTAACTTATTCTACAAGCTATCAATATGTAATTAACTTGTTGACCAAGTTTCTAACCTACCAATCAACTACAAACTCATATAAAAGTCAAAGCAGTGTCTATAAAGCTTTCACGAAGCATTTCTAGACAATATAATTAAATAAATTTACTTCTACCTACTTCTACTTAATCATATAGGTAAATATTAGAGTAAATATTGTCACGGACATACCCATGTAAGCTAGTAATTACATTTATAAATAGGTAGAAGTAAGTAAAAGTAAGTAAAAGTAAGTTAATTCTATAGTATTTAATATGGAAGCTTCATAGAAGCTTTATAGATACTGCTTTGAGTTCATAGGTGTCTTTAATTGACTTTTTGGATTAGAAACGTGGTCAACAAGTTGGCCATGTGCCACACATGTGATTAGCTTGAAAATCAAGCTAACTATGTGGCCCACACATAGAAAAACTTGCCTTGTAAGTCAAAGCATGTGTCCTACAAAGTCAACACATATTGGAGGTCCTATAGAACGTCGCCACATAGCTCCTAGTTAGATAGTATATATAGAAACAAGAGTGAAGCCTTCTTCATTCTTGTCAACTCCTTTCTTGCTTCTAGACTAGTTTCAAGAGTCTCTAATTTTCTTGTCTTTTGGCAATAGCCATTTTAGTTTCTCTTTCAATATACATACTTATTTATTTATATTTTGTTACCTTTCTTTGAGTGAAGGCTCACTTATCTGGATTGTTTTTTCATCGAGTTCTTGTCCTTGACAGATTGATAAGAGTACACCTACAATATCAGAGCTTTGTTTAATCTTGATTAAGAGTGGATTACCTCTTTTTCTTGATAAGATATAAGCATATTAGAAGTTGCAGATTACCCTCTTCTAAACTGATATTGTCCGTAGTATTTTCTTTGTTCTCAAGTCCTCTCTTCTATTTGTCTTGAGCGATATTAGACATCTTCTCTTTTCTAAGTATTATCATGGTAGAACTTGTTGAAATGAAGAATGCAATGGCACAAATGTAAGAGCAATTGAGGGAGTTAATGCTTGTGATGTATCAACTCAATTTACCACCACAAGGAGCAACAAGATTGGCAGGAAGTGAAGATATAGAAATAGTTGGAGCTGCTTCAACATCTACACCAAACCATGTCCTTTCTCCTATGGTGGAACGCCCTTCCAGTGTTAGAAAACCAAGAATTGCCCTACCCAAGAAGTTTGATGGCATCAGATCCAAGTTTCGAGGATTTATCAATCAAGTACAACTTGTGATTGAACTTCAATCCCAAAGCTATCCAACTTCAAGATCGCAAGTTAGATTCATTGGTACGCTTCTTTCAGGTTCAGTACTATCATAGTTTTCATCTTTTCTTGAACGATGAGATCCAATATTGAATAATCTAGAGGCTTTTTTTTAGTAGAGTTTCAATCTATGTATGGAAAACATGATGCAATTCATATTGCAACCAATAAGATCCGTATTTTACGACAAGACAATTGATCAGTAACGTTGTATGCTTCATAATTTTGATAACTTATAACTGATATTAAGTGGGATAATGCTGCACTTATTAGCCAATTTCTCTATAGATTATAATATGAGGTAAAAAAATTAATGCTCAACTTACCTGATCCTCAAACATTGAGTCAAGCAATTGACTTTGCTATGAAGTGCGACAATCGCCTTTTTGAATTTTGATCTGAGAATCGTACAAGTGGACCTCAACGTTACTATAATTCAATGGCAACACCAACACCTGTTCAACACATACATTCAGAAGTAGAGGATATGCAAATTGATGCAGTACGTTTCAAACCTCTTACTGAGCAAGAAAAGACTCGTCGTCGTCAAGAAGGATTATGTTTATATTATGGAGAACCAAAGCTGAGTGCTCAACATTGTCCAAAGAAATGACGCAATCATAAAATAAGGAGTATGGCTGTGAAAGAAGACAATATGTCGGAAAACGAGTTTGTCC